ACCCCTTACCCATTTTGATGAGCATGCTTTACTGAGCACATTGATGCTGTGGATCTTCTTGTTGTTGTTGTTGTTAGTTTGAAAAGACTTCAGTTTGAATACTTTTGTCTGCTATGAAAACACAGCACAGCAGCGCTGGGAATTGCATCCATTTTAGATGATTTGGTACTTCACAATTTACATCCAATGCCTCTCTCTCTCTCTCTCTCTCCTAACCTAAACCATACCAAAGATGCAATGCACTTGATTTCAAAAATGACACAAGACATAATCTGGGATTTTGCAGCTCATTTCAGCATAAGCCACTAGGTGACACATTTAAAGTGATACAGCCCTCCAGTGGCCATAGCAAATATGACCAGGGTGCTCACAATAAGGTCAGGGTGGATGGAGGTCTGTCTTTTAAAATCACAACCATGTTTGCTCCCTAACCTGTGACCCTGATGACTCCCCCTAATCTCAGTGAAAGGGTTATTTTAACTCGAACCATCTTTCCCAAAACCTAACAAAATATTAGGCACAGAAATGAGTTGGTTATCTAATTTTTGAGAACCTGTTGGACAACGGGTTTGGAAGACATATCCCAGTTGGAGTCCACTGTCCTGACCTGAATTGATACTGACCAACTGTGGATGACTGTAAAGACTGGAACTCCAAATTTCTCACAGCGATCAAATGACGGAATCAAATTTTTGACACCGATAATCAGGCCTCCATGAAACTTCCAGGGATTTGGTCTCCTCCATACAGGTGGAGATCAGGGTCCATTGTTGCTTATGCTTTGTAGATGGAGGTGATATGCCATATTCAAGCTCTACAACCCAATGATCTTGAGGCTGATGGCAATGTGTAAGAGATGGTATTATAATGAAACGCATCTGTGTACTGCAGATGATCCTTATCTTTGAGTGTCCTTCACCTCCAGTCTTTGATATCACTGACGCTGAAGATGTCAGTTATCAGCTCCACATCTCGTCTCTGATCACAACCAACATTAAGTGAATCAAACACGGATCGCTGATCTCAGGCAGTTAAATCAGCGTGTGAGTGTTCAAACAGGCAGAGAGGCTAAAAGGCCCTTCAGAGTTTCACATTGACATCCTCTGCTCCTGGATGCTTCACAGCTCTGCATATTTCCCTCTTCTCTGGTCTGCAGCTAAATGTGTGTTAACAGGCATCAGAATTGACAAGTTCCCACGCTAAACTGACAGGAAGAAACAAGGAAAAATGTAAAAGTTAATTGTACTCGCAGAGGAGTAAATTCTTGCTGTGTCGGCCTCATTCAACAGAAACAGAACTCAGTGATGTGAAACAGTGATGTGTTTTTCTTCTTACCCTAGATTTTCTCAAACAACTGGGATTATTACAAGAAAAACATATATGTTGGATACTTGTCAGATGTTTCCTATGGTACAGATGTCAAAACATTGTAGTGAAGAACAAATTATTGTACTGGAGGGAAAAATCATGTTGAAAAATGGTTTCATAAAGCGCTATAATAACTTTTATGGATGTAATACAGAAAGTATTACAGTGACCTCTTCAGCCGATGTGTTTTTTTTTTTTTCTGAGGAAAAAATCCACCTGATTCATTGAAAATCATACTCGTTCTCTGAAAAAACAACTTTATTTTCATCAAACAGGATTTTCTCTGTAACCAAACGACCAGAACATGGTGTAAATCTTCTGGGTATTTTTATTTATTTATTTATTTTTTGTATAATGGCATGTCACTCAGACTCACTTACATCACTCACCAATACTATGTACCATCAAATTATTATTATTATTATTATAGCTACACTGATCACCAACAAGAAATCAAACCATCAGAAAAATCTTGATTCTTGAAATTTCAAGTTGAACAGTGTACAGATGCACCTATGCAGCCAAATACAACATTAAGACACTGTTCTTCTCTCCACTCATTATGGTTTGACAGAATCTTTACCTCAGTTATTATCCGCTGACAATTCGAGTCTGTTTTCTGATTGCCAAACTTTCCTCTCGTTAGTTATTGGTATGATCCGGTGCACTTTATTGTGTGCCACGTAAAGGATCGCGTTTAACTTGTGCAACTCCCAAGCGTTGGACTCAGAGCAGCCAAAAGAGGGGTGACCTACATTCAGTACGGTCCTTGAAAGCATCGTGTGTAAACGGACTGAGAACTGCAGTTATTGCTGCTCTGCTAACGTGCTGCTCGTGCTACGCCACCCGTGTAGACACAGGAAGTGAAGCTTGAAGAGTAGCTAAATGCTCACATCAGCATGCTAACATGCTCACCATGAAAATGCTAACATGCTGATGTTAATTTTGTAATGTTTAATGTTGTTCATCTTCTCTACCAGATTAGGGTTAGCATGCTAAAGTTGCTAACTTGCATTTGCTTATTAGCACTAAACACAAAGTAGCTACAGCTGAGGCAGATGGGAGTGTTTGGTTTGTGACCAAATAACTGAAGAACTAAGTATTGAACAAAGATGAAAATGAAGTGAAGTTATTGCAATTTATTCTCTGGGGACCATTAATTTTACAGCAATCAATCCAACAGTTTTCTATATTTCATTAAAAAACAAATGTCAAGCTCAAGTTGAGACTAGAGGTAAAATCAGGGGATCACCAAATTCTTTATGATTCAGTGTGGGCAAGAAAAATGTCTAAAAATCTCACACAGTGGTTATTTCAGTGTGGACCCAAGTGGTGGACAGACTGACATGACACCCACACATGCTTTTAAAACGTTTGTTTTGTCAGGAGATGACAAAGATGAAAATAATTAGTCATTTCAAATTAGTTGGGTTTGTTACATTACCTCTTTCTGAAGGGCAGAAATCAGCAAGGTTATTACTTTGGTTTTACTCATCAGTGTGAGTTAGAGAGAGCTGCTAATGCAGAATTGATGCACAGCGGTGGTGAGCACTTTATAAAATCAGTGACAGAGAAACAGCTGAAAACAATGCCCGCATCAACTCCTTGTTGTGGGGTGAAAAAATAAATAAGATGCACTTTGAAGTTTTAGCAACTTTTGTCATTAAAATCCCATCTGTGCTTTGGGGTCTCGCAGAGAGACGGTGGTGTATGTTTGATAAACAGCTGCTGTCGATGCTCTTTCTGCTTCTTGGCTTCCCTACATCAGCAGCACTCTTTACACATGAGCTGAATTATCACACGGAGGGATTTGCTTCATTTTCAGTGTTAATATCAGAATGTGTTTTCATTACATCCATGTCTGCCTGACACTCTGTCTCTTGGATTATCTCGCGGTCTCATTCTGATCATCTTACTGCTTTCCATCGCGTTACAATCCACCTGTCAGACCGAAGCAGATTAGCATTTCAAAAACACATTAACTGTCTCTGCGTGCAGTGAACGAGGTGACAGACAGCCACAGTGTTACAGAGCCTGCGCTGCTGTCGCTGTTAAAAGCTTCACTGTTCAGAGAGCTGGGGGAGGAAGCTCCCAGCAGGCGGCATGCAGCAGGGAGGACAAAACTGAAGTGGGGGTAGAATGTGAAAGGGAAGTGGATGTAATGGCTTTTGAACGAACCGCATATGGTAGAAGTCTAAAAATGATCAGGATTCGTGAATGTGATGAGGTTTCCTGCCTATGCTGCGTCTCCATCTTTAGAGGGGGGGCCACAACCTGAGGGCCCCTGTCAGCCCACCTCTACCCTGATTATGGCTCAGATTTCTCCAACTGTCATTGCAGGGAACTTTCAGTCATACACATACAAAACTCCTTATAAATTAATCCAAAATACAGACTAGGAACCAAGGTTTACTAGAACAAAGTTGTTCGAATCACTTGAACCATGGGACGGTGAGAAGTCTCACTCCGGTGGTAGAGTTTCTGCGAGAGAAGCAACTTGAATTCTTCATATGGAAATTTTCAGAAAGCATTCCTCAGGCTACATTACATAAGTGAGGCAACTTTTGATTTACTTTCGTCTGCCTTTATTCAGAGATCTGCAGTTTTAATGAAACCTTTTGCAGTGTTTTGTGTAACTACAGGGGTAAAGGTTAATTAACTGATGTTACAGCTTTCTGCTGACCGCTTCAAGCTAAGTTTTAAAATGTATATTGACGCTACTTGGCGTGTTTAATTACTTCTGGTCAACTGAATCCACTCTGCCCTTTCTAAAAGGTAAATAACGGTAATGTGTTTTCAAAAGTGAAACATCACGACTGAAACTAATATCTCAGTTGTACTGATTTGTGTACGCGGACAGCTGTGGACCCCACAGAGGCATAGTTGTTTTCATTTACATATAGTTTGTTTCGTAGTGCACTTGTCCGGAATACGTAATCAGTCAAAATGGCGACATCCATGCAAGAAGAGCTAATTTATCTGCTGTACTTATTATTTTAACGATGACTTGTAGAGATGAAGGTAGCAGCTGATCTCTGCACACAGCTTCTCTTCAAACAGCGTGCATGTTGGTTTTCTACCCTTGCATAGTGATTTATGTCTGTGCGAACGTAACAAATTGGTCGCTACACTGATGTACACCCTCCCATGATGAAATTCACATAACACAGACCCTCATGTACTCGTGGATGCAGAAAGTATAACAATAGTGTAAGTGTCTGCAGCCATGATGGTGGCTCTGAGAGGGCGGGGCTTACATTTATATAAGATTTTCATTACATCGAACTCATTTTTTGCTACTGTTTCGAGCAATAGCCTTTCAGTGTATTCACATTCATGTATTTTCCATTGGTGTCAGACTCTTCCCGCCCTTTTACCTACAATATGAGGTTGTTTGGCTGCACTGTAAACAAATACACCAGTTGCTTCTCTGTTATGACAAAGCTGCTGCTCAGGGAGTGTTTGCTGCTCCTGTAACCTTACATGTCACCAACTCGATCTCGACTGAAATATTAAGGATTCTATAAAGAAAAGAAAAACCTTACTGGAAGTTAAAGACCATGTAAAGGGTGGGGCAAAACCTTCCAGGAGAAATAAAGCAGCTATCTGTTAATTAGGAGTTTGCCTCCGTCTCTACATATTCCCATCTCTCCAGGAGAAACTCAACCACAAGAGGGTGTAGCTTCACATTTTATGTACTGGTACACCATAAAAATACTGATACCTCTACTATTCAACATTTCAATATGACAAAGTGACGTTAGCCAGAGGTTGTTACAAAGACTTGAATCAGCATTTACATTTTTGAATGTTTACACATGAAACGACGATATCAACACCTTAAAGTCCGACACTGTTTCCTGTTTGTAGCAGTATTCACAATGTAGAGAAAAGCAACACAAAGACAACACTGTGTATTGTTCGTTTTTGCTTTCCATATAAAGTAGAGCCACTTCTACCAGTGAAGTCTCAAGTGTCTCTGAGTGCAGTGTGAAGTCCTGAGGCGTGGCAGGACACCCCCAGTCTGCACCCTCAGCTCCAAAACGTCCCCCAGTTCACCAGGTCACCAGGCCTTTAGTTAAATGAAATACTCCTTTCGGCTTTCGCTGGAGACGTTTTGGGAATCAGTCGTTTGGTTGTTGAAAGGAAAATCTTGGCTGTCGTCCTGTTTGACTCCCTTCACTTCCTGATTTCTATACGTCTCTTTTCTCCGGTAGAGGAATCTGGCAGTTATCGCCAGGACAGTCACAACCACAAAGATCACCACCGCTATCACACCTGCAGGGTTAGAGGACATTTCACAATGTAAAAGGCTGAGATATCAGATAATTGTGTGGGTTTTATTTAATTTCAATATGCATGAATGCTTCAAAGACAATCAGAACGATATCTTTCCCCTGTGGTTCAGTCATTTCGTTTCCCAGTGTTCTGATTATCTTGCTAATCTAAAAGTACATTAAACATCATTTTAAATCTATTGGGCTCCAATGCTCTGTTGAGCACATTTGGGGATATGATAGCAGATTACATTTAATTGGAATCCAAAATACATCTAAAATTTGATAGCACATTACATTATACAGAGCCTGATTTTTAAGATAAGGGCAAGAAAGCTTTCCCATCAGCAAGTCATTCCTGCACAGGTTTAATTAGGTGAGCTGCCCTCTGTGCACTGAGACAGTCAGGCCAGTTTAATGGGCAGTTTTAAATGACTTTTCTCAGGGTCTCACCTTTTTCTTTCTACACGATTATAGATTGAAGCTTTTCAGTCTTCACTTTGAATCAATCTGTGCTGGCAGGGCAACAAAGTTTTAAATGAGTTTTTAAATGGGCTCTTGCCTGGCACATCACTTTACACGTCACCTTTTACTCAGGTCAACAAAGTTGTGGACAGATGTTGAGCTCAGAGAATAAAGTCTCGTTAAAAAAACATCCATCAAAAACAGCAACAATTATTAGGTTATAGATGATCATTATTACAAGATTACAGATCAGTATAATCAGCTTAATTTAATATTTAATTCAATTTAATTAAAAGTTTTCCAAAAACCAAAGTCTTGGTGTTTATACAAGTGAAATCGGTCCCTGTTCAAGTACAGTGAAAGATGGTGAAACAGTTCAGTACCTCCAATCAGAGCCGAGTCAGTCCTGATGGCATTGACTAAAGGTTGACCTGAACCCACTGAACCAGACTGGTCTACAACAGAGACAGAGAAAAGGAGTGGAAGGAAGGAGGTTATAAGGGCAAAATGGGGGAAAAAAAAAAAAAAAGTCCACCAAGAAATGTAAGAAATAATATTGAGGGAAAAGAAAAGCAGAAATAATATAAAGGAAATATGGGAAGTAGGGAAACCAAGAAAACAAAATTTTATAGGGAACAAAAGACAATGGAAGGAAAAAAAAAAAGCAAACGGATCAGATCAGGAAAAAAGCAGGGGAAAAATCCAGATAAGAAGATAATCATTCAGATCAGACTGGGAATAACTGCAGCACTTCTCCAACTGACTCTAATAAAGCATCACAAACTGGATGAGAAGTAAACCAGAGGAAAGAACTTGCAAAGGAAACTCCCCCTCTGTGGTCTGAATTAATTAAATCATTGTTCACACTGTCATTAGTGTCCCCAAAACAAGAAGCATACTGTATGCCATTAATGAGCCCCTCATGAGCATGAAAAGCAGCTTTCATGCAATTTACACACACACAAACTGAAAGGCAACAGGAGGTGCACGCCACTAGATGAAACCCCTAAGCAGACGGATGGGGAAAAAGAGTTGAAATAAGCACTTTCCTCTTTTGAACTAACGTCTCATCAGTGATGGTTAAACTATATATAATAAAAACGTCCTTGATTTAGAGCAAAATAGTTCATTGGGCGTGATTTTAAATTTGTCGTTGCTCAAGTTGCAGAGTGTTAGCAGAAGCAAAAAGCCATGTCAAATCTGAATGTGTTGAGCAGAACAGCTTGTCATGCTACATAATAACAGCTTCAGGCTTGACGAGTTAAACCAGACATTTTAATGACTCCCAATCTTGCATACAACACCCCACCATTGTTGTCACTGTCAGCTGCACTGCCTGCGGCTTCTTATTTAATACTGACGGACTGATTCTCTAGTTTGGTTATTGTCAAGACATTTCATGAAAAGACCGAGATCAACAATGTATTAGTTCGTCTCTCAGTACGTCCTGTCACACTCGGCGCCAAGCCCACTGGATGCTAATGAAACCCTAATCCTTAAAAATGGGTCAAAAATACACTTTCATTTCCTGTGTTAAAATGCATCACAAGTTTAATTTAGAATTTCTCAGACCAAACTGACTCCACCACTTACCTGACAGGTGGTGCGTGTCCTCTGCTGCGTAGGGATTGGCTGAAGCCGAGGAGCCACAGTTGGACTGCACTAAAGGTCCAGTGATGACGACGGGGCTGGTGTCTGGATGGAGCAGAGCAGCTTTCAGAGGGCTGATGGAGTTAAAATGGACCACTGACAGACAGCCGGTAAAACCCAGAGACGCCAACCTGGCCAGGTCTGGATCCAACTCTTCCGACTCTGTTGAAGACATGTATCATTGTTTCAAACCTGTCATTTGTGTATACTTAAAATGCAGTTTACATTGTATATTTGAAAGTTGAAAATGCATGAAAAGCTCATTTAAATATGATCCTCGACCTTTTTTTCTCCCTTCAAGTTTCAAGATGTTACAAACTAGAAGTTATAAAGTTATAAATCACCAACTCATTCATAACTTCACAGATAAAATGAACTACAAGACTACAGCCATGTGAGCGGCCCTGTGAGGATGTACTGTGCTTTGAGCCAAGTCCATGCTAACATGCTTACAATGATGATACTAACACACTGATGTAAAGCAGCTACAATGTTTACCATGTTCACAATCTTAGTTCAGTGTGTTGGCATGCTAACATCAGTCACACAGAACAGCTGCTGGTGTGAATGGCATTAGTGTTGCAGGTATTTGGCACTAGCTAAAAAGTGAGTAGCAATGGCACTGTTGACAGATTGACTGAGGGATAACAGGCGGCTGAGTCGATGTGTCACATAAGTGGAAGTATGTTGACATGAACTGACTAAGCACCAATGCTGAGTACAATAATCTTTTTCTGTTGTATGTTCATTCTCCTGAGTGCAGCTGCAGCAGCGGGACACAAACTGACATCATGTCAGGATCAATTATGCTCATCCTCCCTAAACATACAGTCACACACACCCTCATTACAGTAGACAGACTGTCAGTGATTTCAGCCTCCAGTCTCCATCTATCACTCCACGAGACAGATGTGCACTCTCACCCTCTATCTGTTCATTTTATTGACTTAAATCCCTTCATTATTCACCTCCACTCCTTCACAGCAGTGTAAACGGCAGCTGTGGAAAAACATTACCGCGGAAACCGGCTGCATCACTGTCAGATGACTGAGAGGTGACTATGGTTTTTACCGGGACACATCTGCATGTTGACGAGAGCGAAACATTACTGCAGCCTGTAAGCTCCGCTCAGCTGATCCACCCCTCACTCCATCACCTCTCTCCCCCTCTCCGTCTCTCTGTATTCCTTCCGGGTCCATTAGTTAGGCTGATGGATGATAGGGTTGGCAGGGAACGACGGAAAATCCACTTTCCTGCTGCTTTTCTGATCCTGATCTGACTCTCTGCCTCCTCTGGTTTGACAGAGATGAGGACCGGGGTTCAAACACACTGTGCTACACCCACTGAGTTACTCACTGAGGATTTACATCCAAAAAGACAAAAGATAATCAGAGAATTGGTATTTGTTACACCATAAAATGTGTGGTGTGCATGCCTGATGTAAAATGTAGATTGTTTATTTGGTTAATATTGTTGCTTTAAGTAGTACATAAAATTAGTTTTTGACTGATATGGATATTTGAAGGCAAAAACTAGAACTGATGTTTTTAGAATGAAGCTGCTGATGACAATTCTGCATTCAATATTTTTAATAATGATCAATTTCATGCATAAAAACCCCAGTAATTACGACTTGAGCGCCGATTGACTGTCTCAGGCTGTAACTGATGTTTCAGAGGCTTTTTTACTCAAAGTCTCTATTGAAGTTAATGAAGAAGAACAAATAACATTTTCATGCTTCGCACAACTGGAATGCTGAATAGTAGAGAGAGTGCATCATATCAATGAAAATGGAAAATATTGATCACTTTCTTTTTTTTAAAGGTCAAACTTTAACACTGAAAACTGCATTTTCACATACAGTACATTTTTAGCAATTTGCAGTACCATGTTACAACAGCACATTGCTGCTTTTTATCTTGCACATCACTGTTACATGATTATAGTAAAGGGCCATAAAACACTGACAGGATACACCTATGCAAAATTAATCATCATCTTACTCACTATGACTTAATACTGCTGAAGGACACCTGGGGAAAGCTGGTAGAAAAAGCTGACTCAACTATTGATAGCCGATGTGTTTCCTTTTTGAATTGACAGTGTGTTGCTGTGACTTGGTCTCGGGGAGCTGTGACTGCGGCCTCTCAGCCCCTCATGTTATTAACAGCTTATATCTGAGTGTGTCTCTGATGGCTCCGCTCACAGAGAACATGAATAAGTCATGACAGAGCCAATTACTGTCTCATCCCAACTCTGTTACACGTCCCTGTCCAGGACTACACAGCTAAGTGGATAAAGCATGGCACTAAAGCACCCAGGGTTGGTGAAACCTTGTAATAAAGTATCCATTAAATAGACCCGTCTTCTGTTCACTCCTGTAGAAGTGACGAGAAAGAGACAGCATGTGATGACAGTTGGAGTTTTACAAAGGAAAACTAACGCTGAATATTTGAGGCTGCCAAAAATGCAATTTTGACAGTCTGAGTTCTTTAATTAGTGCTGGATAATAATCTAAATTTATGAAATAACACTATGGATCCGTTAGTACATAAATATCCAAGTAAAAATCCCATATACAACAAATGATATTTATCCAGAAGTTTAATCTAACAAAATCAAACACGCACACATATTACTCTTTGTTGTAATCTGAGCATGATGTTCCTCGAAATCAAAGGTTTGAACTGAGGTTCCCACAAAGTTTTGGGGAGTCAGTTACTTGTGGACTACAACTGAAGGCCTGTTTGCTTTCCTTTGTTTATATTTTTGCAAATTAAATGTACGCTGAATTTGCTGTTAGTTGTATCAAATGTATCCATGGATGTCCAGACAAACTACTATCTTTGGTTATACTGAATCTAAAACTAGAGACCATCTTGCGATGGGGTCACACCAGCTGCGACACCCATCAACATGTTGATGTTCCAGCTCATGAGTATTCAGTGGCTGTATCTACTTCACTGCTCAAGTTTTCTGTCGACATCTCAGCTCAGCCCAACTTGGCACATGATAAAGTGATCTTAATTATCTAAGTACTAACAGCTTTGGCTATGTTTACTTCTGTAGATTTTCATAAACACATGTCAGAGAACTAATCAACACTCATTTGAGTAACAGCTCTAAGAACTTTGATCTAAGTAAAAAGGCTTTCTTTGTTTTTACTGCCTCCTCACTTACCGTGCACCCTGCCCAACACCAGTGACTTGATGGCATTGAATTCTCCGTCTGATGTCAGGTTGAAGTCCTCTCTGACATTTTGGTCGACCTGAAACAACCAACACATTCCCCTCATTAATATTGGGGAAAACATTTTAGTTGTCTCATTAGATGCTTCGAAGTTTTCTCAGTGTAGCGTTCAAAAACTGCGGATGTCTGAATTTAAAACTACACTTGTTCACAGTTGAATTTTTTGGAACAGTGTTCAGATTTTCTTTTGTTTCATCTCACCAGCTCAGTGGGAGAAATGAGCAACTGAGTCCAAACTTTCAGTGAAAAACATTCAGTCATCTGGGGTGAAATTCTCCACTGGAGATTATTTTAGTGAGAGCTGCTCTACAGAGACTCGCAGTGTGTGGCTGTGGAGAGGAAATCTAGTCAGAACCAAAACTTTAAAACTTAAAAGTTCCAAACTAACGTCAGCATTTAAAGGACATTGACCACCAAAGCTTGAGGAAACTTTATTATGGGCTAATACTTCACTTGACTTGCATCTCTTATGGATAAGATCCTGTAGGTGCTGGTCTTGAAAGACTTTTACTTAATTTCAAATGTGATGTGAGTTGTGAATCACATCTTCATGTATAATGTCCCCAACTTGAGTTCTTCTTAAAACCCATTTTAAATAGAAATAGTGAGGTGAGTTAAACCATCTGTTGAACTAAACTGGGTGAGATACTGTAGAGTGAGAGTATGTTGTGTTACGGTGTAATTATGCCTCTCCAGGCTGCACACGTTCAGACAAATATGCAAATGTGTTTGTACTTAGCTAAATGTGACTAGTGGACTAGTGATACATTATACCTCCCAATCCATACAAGTATAAATACAATGTTAATTAAATATAGTGGTAATATGGAAACTAAAATCACTCTCGCTCCAGGTCAATGTAAAGAAATCACTGCATGTGAATGAAGTTTAACATTCATCAATCGATGTAAACGAACAGGACAATGAATTTGAGTGGCTTTAAGAGAAAATTAGTTTGTGCTTTACTTTAAGATCCCTTGTGGCAGTACTATGCCAAAATGTCTGCCCAAAGAGAGAACTTCCAGACAAAGTGTCAGACCAAACAATCAGCTAGTTTGATGCTCATATATTTGTGAAGAATGAACTTTAAGCGGTACAACTGGTGCAACTCGAGTAAACGTGAGTTCTCTTTAAGGTGGTGCGAGTTGTGACAAAGACATGTCTGTGCAATCTTTTCACTGTAGTTGAAAAATTTGCATGTAACCTTAACCTGTACAACTTCATGAATAGATTAAAGAGTAAAAAGGAAAGAGGGTGGAATAAAACAGAACTGGTGCCTTCATGTAAAATCTGTCAAAGTCTGAGACTGAGGTACAGATTCAGGCACAAAAATTGATCTCTAGTGATAAATACAGATGGTTGCAAGTAAAACTTATGAGAAATTGTAGAGGTTGAGAGAACAAAAACGTTTAAGAAGTTTTAAAGGTACAATTTTCTAAATAGATATGATTTATTTTACACTAGGTTTCTGGATATTATATCCTGGAGTATTTCTCCTCCGGTGTTTTGAACAGAGTTGACTAACTGGAGCATGTTGTGAGATGAACAGGAAACCCTCAGAGGAACAAACTGCACTCTGGACTCTCCGATAACAGTGTAGGAACAGAGGACACACAGTATTAGTAGCCCAGAGTGAGTCATTTTTCATCAGGACATGTGCTCAGGGAACAGGTTATGACACTGTCCACTTGTGAGACCAGTGGGGAGACTGGACGCTGCTGGCCATCAGGAAGCAGCTCGGTGAAACTCTTGTCGAGGTTCAGCTGATGTCCCCACAGTATGTCTCTAACGACATAATGATTCAAGGTGATGGAAATCGCCAAGATGAGGTGCACCTCATATTTCATTGGCGCTTCGCAAAACAGTGACTCAGGAGGGTGAACCCAAGCAATATGAGGTCACCTTATTTCATCTCATTGTGTTGATAATTATACAGACGTCGGGGCTGCTGGCCCCTGGTTAGATGAAGTTAGCCTCATATATCATCTGATGCTGTTAACAAGATAAGAGATTCAGTAGATCCAGATACGATTTAAGATGCTTCATATTTCATCTGCAGCTGTTTTAATGTGCAATTTGTCCCTGCTGCCCTGCCGTAGCTCTGCTTAATTATACCTGAGGGGAACAACACAATGCTGTAAAGATGGGACTGTTTATTCCTTCCTCTTTACTGATTAAAATTATACACAAACACACACGTGATCAACCATGTGTTTCTGGTAGATCATTAGTTCCAGTATTCTGACATTTTAGTCTACACTATCTAGAGCGACAGCAGGCAGCTCATTATCACAAACCTGGGAAAAACAAAACATTTTAAATGCCACATGCCGTCACTTTTGGGTCAAGTTAAAGGTGTAGTAGTCTCTGTCAAACTGTTTTGGTTTTTTTGGGGTTTTTTTGAGTGAGCACAAAACCAAAAATAAAACTCATAAAACTTGATTCTTTTCAAATAGCAAAGTGCAACAGGATGTGTCCACATCTGGACATTTTCAAAATTGATGCCTGGTGAAACAGGGTTGGAAACCAGTCAAAACATTTTTATTTCTTAAATGATGCAAACCATATTGCTCTTTGTCTCTATCTGGTAGTTAAAAGATACCCCTGTTCCAGCTTTTATTTTGAAAGCAAGAGGAGACTAACAAGAGGGCCCTTTAAACAGAACAGGTTACTCTCTGCTCTGTTTCAGACTGCTGAAAGTGAGTAAACAGTTTTGATAGTAAGAAACCTTATTGATCACTAAAATGCAAGACACAACTCTTTTTGCAGGTTCAGATCATCTGCTATGCTCATAATTTTGTCCTTGTGCACATGCACGCACGCACGCACACAAAAATCTAATTCTGCAAATCTTTGCTTGCACGCTCTCAAATATTAATTTGCAGACTGAATATTGCTCAGGATTAGCTTCACACACTCTCAAATCTTTTGTTACCTATACACTTCCATACATTTCAGGCCAATCTCTCTAAACAATGTGTTGTGTAGTCATTCAACTCTCTGCAGCAAAAAGTATGTGGTGTAAATGGTGTGTGTGTGTGTGTTACCTGCACAGACACGGAGTCCGCCAGTCTCCTGATGGTCACAGTGTGAAGTTGTCCGTTGGCCAGACTCCTCACTCTGCTCCTCAACACTTCAGCTTCTCTGCTGCTGTCCAGCTTGTACCGCACCTCCAGCTTATCTTCACACACACAGAGACACACAAACAGTTTCTTTTCAATTGAAACTTTTTTTCTCTTGATGAAAACGTCCAGGTCTGCTTCTTTAATCTTTACTTACGTTTTGTTTGTTTTTTTGTTTTTTTGCCTCAGTGAAGAATCTGAATGACAAGTATCTGATTTAATACAGCTTGAGGATTGGGATTTAATTCCCTATCAATAACAAAACAAATCTAAATTTAAATGTAATTAATCTTAACTAATATTCAGAGTATTAAGAGCAGATTTAATGAAAGCCCTGTGATGTCTGTGCACTTTTAAAATTCAAAAGAAGGATAAGAAATCACACATCGTCCTTCAGGTGCATACATAATAACATTTAGCATAATTTTCAAGTATAGTAATTAATACCACAAAGAATATCTCATTAATACGATTCACATTCATGTTCATTAGACGTGGATTTACCATGAAGGAATAATTATTTGTTATTCATGCAGTTTGTTTAGGAATACATGTATTTATTATCTGAACAACAGCAGTCAGTGATTGACAAAGAGCTTCTGTGTTTGGTCTGAGGAAGTTTAGCTGCAGCAGAGGGCATGAGAAATAAATTAGCCCAGCAACACAAAGCTCTTAGGGATTTAATTGGACGCTTCAGTTTAAGAACATTTACCTGACCAGTCCACGGTCACCACGAAACCTTAACGCTCTGCTGTCCATCAGCTTTGAGTCATTAACACCAAAAAAATTCCATTTACAGCTAATCTAGCAGCAAGTGCCGGTTTTATTAGACTCCTGGACGGTGAAAATGTAATTTAAAATTCAAAGGGCCTCCTACTACTCTTAAAAGCCAAACTCTCAACATAATTATTTGAATCAAAAGTTTCTAAAACACATGAGTGAGTTTTCTGCTGTTTTATTCAGCAGCACATTGACCGGCTACATTAACATCCCACCAAACCTTTATTCCCTCAGCATCACTCATCAGGTCTCACCGGTAAAACCAGAGAGCACTTTCTTTTTTCAGCCGGAGACAAAACACAATAGCCGGCCCAGCTGGACAGATTAAAAGGCAGTAGAGGCTGACGGGGTGAATCCAGAGAGAGGAAAGGTCTGACAGATCCTGATAGATCTGGTAAAGCTGTAGAGCAAAGGACGAGGAGGAAGGAGAGAGGGAGAGGAGGAGGAGGAGAGGTCGATATCATGAGGAGATGACAGGAATGGGAGAGAGATGATGAGATGGAGAGGGGAGGAGAGGTAAGATGAGAGGCTGGGAGGAGATGTGAGGAGAGGAAAGTCATTGAAAAAAGTTGAGGGACGAAGAGGATTAGGAGAAGTCTTGAAAACATTTTTGATTCAAGGGTTGAAAATATGGACAAAAATAAAAGAACAGAGAGCAACAACCAAGAGGGAAAATTAACTGATGTTCAGAGGGTGAAAGACGACTGGGAGGGAGAAACAGGAAGAGAGGATTACAAGAAGCTTTTTATAAATAAGAGGACAATCTCAAGTCTGAATGACCTGAGCAGACAAAAGGATGAGAAAGAGCCCTGAAGCATGGAGGTAAATAGGAGGAGAGGAGTTTAAAAGGGTTTTTTACAAAAAGATGATGCACTTAATCTTGTGTGCAATCTTGTTAAAAAAGCATTTAAATAAATAAAAACTGCACGAAACCGAAGTCATGGTGGGTAATAAGATTTAAAAACTACCACACAAACAAACCACCTTCAAAATAAAAGCCCTATGTCCTGCTCACCGTGCTTGTTGATGAGCAGGGCCAGGTACTCTCTGTAGTAGGAGGTGACGTAGAGCAGCAGAGCCGGACTCTGGTTCGTCCTGAAGCTCAGAGAGACGTTCTCTCCTCTCAGCGTCATGTCAGAGTAAATGGAGGACGGCAGGGCGCTGCTGTTCCTGATTAACTCGTACGGCTCCTTGAAGGTGTAGCTGACGGATGTCCCTGACTTAAAGATGGCCGACACCTCTGGAGGAAGAGACAGCCACAGAGAGGCTCATTACAGACTTTTTTTTTTTTTTTTTTTAAGCAATATCAGGAATGGAAAAGCAGATTTTACACTCAAATGACGTTCTTTGATCAACAAGGCAACTACCACATTAAAAAGCTTAAAATTATTTTAAATTTTACATTAAATACAAATGTATTTATCTCTCAAGCTTCAAGAGGTTCAAAGGTTTGCTCATGTTTTCAGAGTACAGCCACTGATTTTTCATCAAGGAGATAGTTGTTTTTCTTTCTTGTTTTTTTTAATACCTGTATATTTTTATTTGGGAATTTCATTACTCATACTGATTCAGAGGAACCAGAGGAGGGAATCCTGATCAGGATGATTAATCGGTGTCATCAGGCATCAGTGTGTTTATGTATGTGTGTTTATCTAACAAATAGGCAATCTCCCACCGAATTGCAATGGAAAGGTTAACCAGTCCTCCTCTGGTGTTCCAAATATAGATGTCAGGGGGTGGTAGCTATGTGAATGTGAAATACATTTTCATAGCTTTTAAATATTTCTGACCAATAGTCAGTTAACCTCGAGCAGGTCCTTAGTAAGTGGATGAGATTGGCAGGGAACTGTCACTTACTTCTGGGGTAATCTTGGCCAATCTGGCATTAGTGTAGTGAGCTTTGTGGAGGATCTTGCATTGCATAACACTGTCTTGTAGAAATAGAAGAGGAATGAGCGAGTTTTGAAATGTGTTTCCATTTGATGTCAGGCAGTCCCATTCCCAAGTCGTCCTCCCGTGTTCTTTTAAAATTTAAAGAGCATATTAAATTAAAAATAACTGAGGTGAGATGTCTTTGCTCGAGATCAAGATTCAGAGGGATATCAATTTTACAGTCAGGGTTGCGACTGGGGAAGTGGGGAAACTGTTTCTGTGCCTGTTCTGAAAGAAACACAAAAGATGGCCTTTAGGCAAGTGAAACTTTCAGCGAAAATTCAGCGAAGGACAAGAAAACCTCACTATTATGGTTTCTGGGTTATACCTCAGTATTTAGAAATCCCAAAGGTGCGAGCTGGGATGGATGGTTGCTGTCGGTGGGGGAACAGAACTCCCTGTTTGTGAATATTTTGGGCTCAAAACTGATGCTACAGATGAGTCAGCCAACATGGATGATGCTAGGGGCATTATTTGCTACAAAAAAAGTCAAACCCTTATGGTCTAGTGGGGCCTGCAGATCATGTGGAGTATCTGATCAAACATTCAGCAAAGCGGGGAATGCAGTCTCTCCATAACGCTCACATCTAAAGACAAAGGAAATGTTGTCCTATCAAAAGCTAGATGATCAGGTCCCCTGGAGCTTTATGCACTAAACCAAAGCTTTTTTTTTTTAAATTACTTTTTGGCTTCTTTTACATGTCTAGGATTACGGTAGGCTAAATGACTGCGTATGTTTTTTTTCTGGAAATTAGGGCTGAAGAAGTGGGTCTTCATCATCTTGACAATTACTGTTCATCAGATATTGTCTTTGTAGAGGACCGTGTTACATTTGTATTCTCTCCATTCAGAGTGTTGCATGATGGGTCGCTTGTAGCCCTAATGTTGCTGGGCTATCGTGTGTTTTTAAGTCTGTTTTATAGTGAGTCAGTTAGTCAGCCCTGGAAAGAATCAGGCTCCGTCTCTGGAACATAGCATCCAGTTTTCTAACAGTTGAGCCTGATGTTTTAAAACATTAAACTCTGCTTCACCTACACATCACTCATGGACTGGAGATATTTTATATTTCATCAAGCCTGAAAAAAAGTTGTTTGTTTCTTCCATTTCAGCGACTTTCCACTTTTGTTTCAATATTATAATGAATTGCTCAGGGTTATTTTAGCTCAATCAGATATTTAAAGCATATGAACAAATTTATATGGCCTAATTAGACTGCCAGAGAACACAAGGCTGTTCTCAAAATACCAGCACAAAATCAAGAAAAAAAACCCACTTTAAACCAATTACAGAAAACCGTGTTCAACAAGTTTCCTGACAACTGTAAACATAACTATATCCACGCGGTGTTTCACAGATACATCAAAGCAACTAAAATGTACTCTCTGTGCCTCACCATGCTGACGGAGATGCAGATAAGTGCATTAGATGGATGGGCAGAAGAGGGCACAGAGAGTCCTCTTGAAATCATGGACTAACTTAAGTTGTTGGATCCAGATATAAAGTTCAACTTGATGATGCAACTAATTTGACATCAAACAAACTACTTAAATAGACTCCAACACATCAAACAGACACTATTTGCATGAGACATTTGATTGCAGTGAAAGATTCAGTGGAATGACATGCAGTCTAAATACAGCAGCAGAGAAACACCCCCACAAACTTGTTCTCAATAACAGTATCTGTCTCTTCTCATCTTGTGTTGACTGTTATTTATATTTTCATCCTTTCAGTTTTGTTAAATACAATGAGAATTATATCTTATTGGAGTCCTATAGAAATGAAGCCTGTGTGGAGATGCAGATGTTCAGGGTTAACCTGCTTTGACTCTGCTCAGACAATCGCCGGCTTCGACTCTTTCGTTCTCCTCCTGAAGGAGCCACAAGCTGACACACGACGTCAAAGCAGCTCTGACCTTGTCTGGTGAGATATATGAGCTAACAGTAACTGTAAAGCAGAGCGGGGGGGTTCGGGGGTGGTGGTGGATATGGCTCTATGCAACATGTTGTCAAGTGGTTCGACAGGTCTCACAGAGACGGGTCAAGGCGGGTGTCCCCACCATTGTTGTCTATGGAGAAAAGTATAATATAAAAATAGCTTTGGTTTATATGAAGACTGTGATAACTTTGTCAGCTGAACTCTTCCAGCACTTTACTTCTGTCTGTTTTATAGATATGGTTGTCACAGTTACCTCACAGTTAACTCCTCCCACATTCATTTTTATTCAGTACAAAAGAGTCTCTTATGTAACTTACAAAGTAAGTACATTCTCCAGACAAAGAAAACCTTTACAGCATGATGACACTGGCTGGTATACTTTGCCTATAGCCCTAAGATTTGAGGTTGAGTGTCTTGCTCCAGGACATAACATGTGGACAGTACCTGTATGGCAGAAGACTCCGGTGTAGGCTGACAGGCCACAGTCACAGTGGAAGCCGTTGACCCTCTCCACACAGCGGCCCTGGTTCTGGCAGAGCGAGCCGTAGCTGCTGCAGTGACCCGGGCAGCCGGGTCGAACCCCGGGCGTGATCTTCGCCCTCTCCTCCAGGTCCAGGGTGACGCCGTTCAGCTGCAGAGAGCGAATACAGCCCCGAAAGCCCTTCTGCCTGGACGCTGTGCCTCCTGTCAACATCAAAACAGATAATGGTCTTTAATGCTTTATATTCAATGCTTTTTTTATGTTTCATGTCGAGATGTAAAATGCTACACTTTAAATTTCATGTGTAGCTGAAACTGCAAACATCACAATCAATCAAAGCATGTAGCATCAAAGCTAGCACTGCGAGAACAAAGACAGAACAAATCTTCCCGTCTATCTTCTTTTCCCCAGCCTTTCTTTCATTTCTTTGGGTGCTGACAAGTCTGTGTACTTTCTTTTCTCTTTGGTTTTTCTTCTCTCCTCCTCCTCCTGTCATCTACAGCAAATCCACATGTTGCCTCTGCTCCTCCAGAAGCTCCAGACTGTCAACACTCTTCTTATGAAATGACACAACGATGAAACGGCAATGAGGCAACAAGCTGTAGGTGGAAAACTGATCTGGGAGCATAACTTTCGTCAGCTGTCTTCAGGTCTGTCTGAAAAGCATCATTCTAGCTGTTGACTGGCTAACTAGGTGGTTGGCTGCCATGCTGAATTTCTGCCTGGCTGTGTGTCTGGTCATACATCTGTCTGTGTGGAGCAGGAAGGCAGATCTCCTTCCCTTTCCATCACCTTTCCTTGCACATTCTCCCGCACTTCACTTGCAATTTGTCAGATTTTTTTTTTTAAATAATGGCTACAAACCAGAGGACAGAGAAATAATATCAAAAGTACATGTCCACCTTTGCACCCACACATACTGTGAACTTTTGCTGTGCCATCACATATAAGAGCAAACCAGACAACCTGTCATTTCTGCAAGGTTCACAGGGTGAAATTGTGCACTTTGCTCTCAGCGCCCCAAAGCTGACATCTTCCTACTGCACAGCAGCAGCAGCTTTTCACACCAATAACTCACTGAGCTCTGTCAGACTCCTCTCTCTGCTGTAATACAAGTCACAAACTGTAAATTATTGAAATAGGTTTGAAACACAAAGGGGGAAATACCCACTTTTTTTTTTTTTTTTTTATAAAACAGGGAAGGAAACTTGAAGTTGACTGAAGCATGGATTCAGAAAAGTTAATATTTTGAACATATAAAAATTAATCTTTGGATGAGTATTCTTTCACTACGCTGTTGGCTAACAATGAAGAAACATGCAATGTTTGTGACTAAACAAAACAGGAATCACTTCCAGGATGGTAAGACTGTAGCATAATGAGGGATTTGTGGGGTGAAGATCAAAGCAAAGATCAAAAAATCCAAATGCAGATAGCCCTGCTCCTTTGGTCAGAGGTTATCAGTGAGACCTTCAAGATCAGTAAGAATTTTAACCTCCTATACATCCTCAGCTCTAACAAGATGATTACAGCATCGCTATATGAGATCACACTGTGAGAACACACTCAGTATACGGTATGAGACAGGACTGTGAAGGGAAAAACAATTAGAGGAGCAGAGATCAAATAAACCATCAAAGGCAATGTATGTGGCTCAAAATACATAGAACCTTAACCTGCAGGTCCAGAAAGCAAGAGCATGTACAGCTCCTGTAGCTTGGAGCAGAAAATTATAGTGAACATGAAAGTAGGACATTATGCAATAAAGCACACACAGGATAGGTCCATCTGCCTCATATTTGTGGGGTAGAGTTGGTTCGTTCAAAACTTTGGTCCAGACTTAAAATATCTCAACAACAATTAGATGGATGATGAGATAATGAAATTTTTTAGACATTCCCCAAAAGACAAATGCTAATGACTTACGATCTGATTTTCTACCAGCACCATGAGTTTCACATGGTGCAGACTTTTCATCAAACATCATCATTCGGTCAAATCTTGATTTGCCCAAATTTTGTTTCGGACCAATTAGAAAATGCTAAAACAATGCTAACATCCTAAACTAAGAAGCTGAATATGGTAAACATCACGCATGCATCAGCATGTTAGCATTGTAATTGCAAGAATGTTAGCATGCTGTCGTTAGCATCACTTAAATGATGAATACATTTAAAAACTTTTTATTTTAATAGATAGATTTTCTGTTGATTTATGATTTGTTTCAGCACTTATCTGGACTGCAGTGTCTACAGCAGGAAAAGCAAGAACATAAAATATCTGTACATCATCAAGTATGAATAGATTAAAGGATCTAACGATGATCGTCCACTGGGATGAAGATTTGCTGGAATCCAACAATACCTCAAAAGCCAGATGATTACACCAGGTTTTTCTTTTGAACTAAGTGGAAATACTGTTTTCATGCCACCACTCACAGGATGCAATGCAGCACCAATAAACTACAGCTTATCTATCCAAACCAGGCAATACAACAAATAATGTGAAATGCTGCTTGCAATGAATGCGAAAATCTTTCACTTGAAACTGCTGCATGTGGATATTTTACACCCACAAATATCAGGCAATGAAGAAACTGCAAAAGTGATGTTATGGCTTATAAATCCCTGCAAGGCAATAACACAAGTTATTAATTGCGACAATGTAATTCTCTTCCTTTATAAATCTGTACGATGAATACTTAAGGCTCATAAATACAATGTTTGTGGAATTATGGCTTGTGTATTCATACAACACTGTGCCTTTATAATAAATAGTACACTGACCTAAAAATCTGTCTCATAAAGTCATTGCACATGATAACATAGCTTAACTATTCAAAATGCATGCAACTATTAGAAATCCAAACAAAAGTAAATATTTTCTACATGAATTTGTTGGAGGCATATAATAAAATGCATATAATATTATAGCTCACACAGCATTGTAGTGGCTTTTTATTGCAGAAAAGCTGAACTGATATCAATGCTTATTTTTTACACATAAACACGTATATTGTGTATTTTATATTTATATTTCGGGCATACAACCGATGCTCTGAATAGCTCAAATCATGATCATCAAGTCAAATATTCTGCACATTCCCATTCAAACACACAAAGCTGCCAATATTCCATTGTACTACATAATTCAGAGGTAAACACATGCGGGTTTCGGCTGATGCCGGCAACCTGTTGGCTATTCAGAGTGGATAATTGGCTAAACACATGCAGCCAATCAATCTTCACCCTGTTGCAGACGATGAAACTGGGATAAACAGGGTATTGATCAAGTTGGATATTCTCAGTTTGCAGTGTGTTATTTACATGACTACTGATGAATAACTTACAGCTTCAGATTCATTTACAGATTATTTAAAGACCCTCGCTGCAAGAAACCACACCACACACTATAATCACTGCTCCCTGCTGCATGTTTGTTTATTGAATGCGATTATTGCTCAGTGTGGTCAGAAACCATCGACTCAGCGCTTTCATATCTATAGTAGCAGCTGGTGTCATTTGTCCAACAGCAGTTTAGGATTCTTTGAATCAGAAGTTTCATTCTCTTCCTCAGTGCGTGGGACTGTGAGAGGAGGTCAGACTTGCTCCCGTCTTGAGTCCTGGATCTCAGTCTATCAGGAGTTTGTATTGTGGGGCCGTGGATGAAGAACTAGTAGAAGCCCTATAAAATAGATGTGCAGACTCAGCATCTTTCATATCCAATACCGCTGAGCAGACAACAGGATTCAGCCAATAGCAAATTAACATATGTAAAAGAATATTTTTAGCCCTTTTTCTGAGGATTTAATCCCAGTCTCATGGGGACACACAACACATCCTGTACTAGCTGTTATTGATCTCTAAACTTAACTTTGGGTGTCAGGTTTAGATCTATGGAGAAGTATGGTGTCAGACCCCCTATATGTAAATGTGTCAAACTGGTATCTTCAGTATTTAGCAACACTTGATAAGTGGAGTCAGACTAACGGTGTCTCTCTTCAAAACCAAACAGCATAACCTCCATTTACTTTCAAACAAACACAAATTATCTACTTCTCTGTAAGGCGGCCTTTTTTACGTATGCCTAGAGGGTCTTCGTCGGTAATACCTGGCAACCTCAACCTGCTTATAATCCTTTGCAATTCACCTTCACAAGAGTTAGTTAGCTATGCTGAGTATTTTTGTGTCCTTTGTTTATTAAAGGTACCCAGTGAAGCTTTTGACCAGTAGTTTCACGATCGAGCAACGTTTTTAAGACTGGGTTCCCATATTGTTTGGCGCTTGTACACATGTGATATAAAGTCCTAGTTTTATGCTATTTCAGTGATCAGCAGTTGGTGACAGCAACGTGTCAAGGCAATGTAGAAGAAACTGGCTTAGCAAACGTTTTGGGGAAGGAAATGCATTCAACATGTTCACTTGGCCTTGAGAAAATATACACTGTGCTTTGTTGAGAAACAGTGGATGTAAACATAACTTTCTTGACCTTTAGTTAGGGTACCTTTCATTTTTTTCCTTCTCGGTAATTTATTTTGATTGTGATTTACAGTAAATAACCTTGACCTTGACTCATGAGTGATGAGTGAACGCAGAAGGCTCTTGTGTAAAAGCTGAGTAACAAGACACAGCTCCGAACCTGTCTATGGTTCATAAACTATTGTCTGGTGAGACGTTAAAGAAAACAAGTTTTACTTCCAAAATAGAAAGAAATTGGACTGAAAAGTTCTGTGATTAAAGCTAGTTCAGGAGCTGCAGAGACAGAAACACTGAGCTACTGGTTCTCTCAAGAGCAAAAAGGATAAAAGAAATGAGGCAAGTAAAAGAGACGGAGAGAGACTGGTGTTGTTCCAATCCCAGAAGATTTAAGAAAGAGCTTTGAACCCATCAGCCCTGAGACTGAGGCGAAAATTCACACAGAAACAGAAAAAACTCCAGTGTAAAATTAAGAGCGGTTGTTTTTGATCACAAACAAAGAAACTGAATCAATAAAATAAGATGGTTCAGGATTTTCCTCCTTGCTTGACTGTGAGGTCATTTGATCGTTACGAACACAGAAGAAAAAACACGCCTCTCACCTATGAACAGCTGGCTGTTGAGCTGCAGGTGGAAGTGTCCGTCAGCAGGAGCCTGCTGCGTGGCGGCAGGAAGCTCGTCCAATCGAAGTGACGCTTCCTTGACGTTGCGCTCGGCTCGGACTCGATGCCACCGGTTGTCGTTGAGTGGGACGCTCGACTCCACGCGAACCTCCAGCGGGCCATTACCCACATCGAAGGAGAAGAGCACCAGAGTGGAGGCTGAGGGAGGACGAAGGGATAGAGGAGACAAAGAAAACAAATTTTAATAGAGGGAGAGGGGGATGATGTAGATAACGGGGAAGAAGGAAGAGGACATAGGGAAGCATCAGAAGAGAAAGAAACATAATTAATATGCCATGTGAATCCCATTTAGATGAGTGTTCAACATCTTGAAACAAAACCATACAATTACTCTGTTGCCTGGTGAAGCAGATGTATTTCATTGTGTGGTGATGTTTTTGAATCCTTATACAAATCAGATTAAAGATTCAGATCATACAGTTTAATTAAAGCAAACATTTTCCAAATTAAATCAGGGAGATCGATTTTGGTTTTTCAATCACCCAAATAATTTGTCACAAAATACTGAGCAGTAATAAATTCAATAAAGTAACTTTCAATGAGGTAGTGAAACTAATTTAAATGCTTGACAGAAAAAAGCAAGACAGAGAGGTCTGTCATTGCTACTGTTAAGTAGACAATTTAAATGTTTAGAAGCTACAGACCCAACACAATCATTCAGTTTGTGCAAACAGGACATGTCCACATCTCAATTAAAGTCCACAGGACACCTATGCTGAAACCTCCATTTTATGATTTAGTATGGGGACACAGGTGTGTCTTTACATAAAAAATCTTGCCAAGTGCAGCTGGAATGAATCTTCATTTTACAGCTGCATATTTTCACACTGCTCCAACCATTCATCTCAGACCTGCCAATGCCACAACTGGGAACACAGACAAGAGCTTTAACAAGCAGGTAGGCTGGACCCAAGTGTATGGAGACCAAACAGGCAGACGGGGGGAGGGAGGTGGCAGGACTCTCTGGATTGAAGTTTAATTACTCTCTCACAACAAAACAACAAACACAAAAGCCAGCAGAGCTTTCTATCTAAGCAGACTGGGAACAGTTCTCATAGGATAACAACAAACAAAAGACTAGAGACGATGTGCTGCTTCTTTCCAGATTCCTATAATGCTCTTCGTTGCAGAACCTTGCTAAGCTTTGCAGTTGCAGTCTAGTAAGTTAACATCAGGTCTACTATTATCCAGCTATAACAGTAAAATGCTACTTTTGATACCTGATAACATTTTATTGATAATACTTTAAAAAGTGTGTGATGATTTAAGTATAGCTCTGCAGTGGTAAGTGGCCACAAAATGTGTAACACTCTCTGAGGTGTCCTGATGTACAAAATTAGTTTCTGTACGGTAATCACTCCATTGTGAGTACTTTATTTTCATGCATCAGACCACCTCATTGTATTTTATTGCTTATGTGCTATTGTTAGGTAACCCCAGGAAGTGAGTGCAAGTGCATGTGCTCAAGTACCCTACCAAAGTAACTGTACTCTCCAGGTAGTTCACTACAGTTCACGAGGCAATATTGTGCTATTTCCTCAGCAACGTTTACCTTGAGACCAAATGGACAATTGGACACAATGAATGGTGTCATCATCATCATCACATCAGTTATACACTTTATTTTGCTTATTCAAATTTTAAAATAAGGTCTAAATTTTGATATAGTAAATTTAGCAAAATTTTAGTCAGCATTCTTTTACTTTTATTTGTACTTTATTTTGTAGTATTGATACATAAACCTGCAATAAGCAATTTTTTTTTTTTTTTAATCCAATTGCAGTCAGCAGTGTTGTGGGTACAACATTCCCATATCATCACATTCAAGCTGATTTGACATTATCATTCATTTGGACTTAATGTAAATCCAATATTCACTCTCTTTTAGCTGTTTTTGGTCTCTACCAAGTGAAATATCGGGCTCTTTAGCTGGTGAACATGTGGAGCTGAGACTCACTGTCGAGCTCTGTATCCCCTTTTCAAATTGTCTTTACATTAAAAAAAATAAATAAAAATTGACCCATTATAGGATCTGAATACTTCCACCACTGCCCTCAGAAATGTTTCACTCTGAGCCCGAGCATTAGCTTCAGGACCACGGCCAGCGCCTCAGCTCTGTTAATGCAGCCCTGGTTCAGCACCACGGACAGCATCTCAGTGCCGCATGACTGTATTTACTCCTTGAGCTGTCTGCTCAGCTCTCTCTGTCCTCTCCACCAACAGCAACAGATTTAGGAGGGTACAGACAAAACAAAACCATCATTCTTCATGTTGTGCTGGTGGAAGGTGAGGATGTATTACTGTGGGACAACAGAACAAGATGAAACAATATCCAAACATCCTACAGTGACTTCATTTAGAAATTGTTGTCAGGCCTGGCCACAGTGTTACCGAGCGACCACACTAACAATGATTTCCCGAGGAGAGAGGCGTCTGTGTGTGTACCTGAAATCCTATTTTGTAAACAACTTCCTCCGAACTTCAATACAACACAAAAACAAGCAGCAAACAGAAAGCTAATCCAAACTAAAAGGGTGAAGTGAGGTGAAAGAGCTTCAAAAGGCAACCACCGATGTCTCTAATACCATAGATTAGAGACATCAAGGCATCTATACATGCCTCACTAAATGACTCACACCATTGCTGCCCATAAATGTGTACTTCATACCTTGCTGCGTTACTGTCATAACCATATAAGCATGAGGTCACCTTGTTGGGTAATACAGCTATATTTCAAATGACACAATCTATGGTAGGCTATAAACATACATCTCACACCTCGCCACATTTCCATGGCACCCATAAACTAAATAACACCGTTGGTTATTACTGTCTTAATCTAAATGACACACTGTGGTGTGTGCATAATGCAGGAGACAGAAATTAATGGAGGGTCATGGCGACAATGCCCCTGAGAGTTTACGAAACAAATGTAAAATTAAAAACAAGGTTGCAAAAAAATTGCCTGAAGTAATTATGAGTTCCTCTTTATGGGTTTAATCTTGTTCACATTTTATTGGTTGTGTGGTTAATACAAGGCTGTCTCCTGTGTGCCAGAATGTGCTACCCACAGAGGTGTATACAATGCATTCAACTGCAGTCTGAGTGGGGAATTGATTCAAACAACAATGCAGCCTAAAGCAGAAAAAAATAGAGGAAAACAAAAACTCCACACAATCCAGCCTGTCAGTAAAAAAAAACTGAACAGCCGGTTTCATTTGACCTCAAAATTTAAAGAGTAAATGGTTGGGAAAATGTCACCACCCTCCACTGTAAGGCTTCCAGACAATTTCAAACACTTCAGCATGGGGGAAATACATTAAAGCAAATCGTAAGGATACAAGTGTTTTTGTGAAATGAAAGTGTTCACAGTTCAATTAAAAATAAAGAAAAAAGGACCAAACTTGACCAAAAGTACAATCCAAAGTAATCTTCTAACTGCATCACTATTAGACCAAAAAATAGAAATAAAAGAACATTATTAGTTTTGCTGGCATACTATAAATCACACTGCCTAAAGGGCTTTAAAATGCACACGCACATTCCCTTTAAGTGTGTTTGGATTCAGCTCCTACTCACAGCTTAGTTCGATGCGGATGAAGTCTTTGATGCCCAGGTTTTCCAGGAACACACCAGAGGAGGCCGTGGTTTTGAACAGGAAGGAGATGTCCGCGCTCAGCTCCCCGTGGAAGGTGGGAAAGTGGAGGTACGACGTCTCCTTGTCGAAAAACGCAGCGTTCCAGAAGTTCTCTGAAAAACACAAATGCACTTTCACATCAGAAACAAATGAGCCAAGCAGGCTGATTAGATGAAAACTGAGTAATTTTAGCAATGCTTTGGCATTAATAGCACATGTATCAACTTTTAGGTACTAAAGACTGCAATTCAAAAATCATTTCAAAGAGGAAAGAGTGGTCGCCTTGACGGGCTTGGAATAAAACTCAAAAGTCTCAATGATGTAATGTCGCTGAGTGATGGCTGGAATATAAAACACATAGAGTTTGTGTCTCCAGGGGACACACAAACTGATGAACATGCTCTACCATGCGAGTTTGTATAATAGACTACAGCATTATAACATACACTATAGATACAGTATATACTATACAGTAACTGTATAGCAAATATCTGCATTAATATTTAAATCATGGTGACATAATGTTAATATATAACCAGTGTTGTTTAGCTAGAAAGCATAAGAAAGTGACAACAGTACATAATAGTAGGATTTCCTGATCTTGATCTTAGAATCAAGTGTAACCAGGCAACTGGGGTTTTTGGAGGGCACTTACTGTCTCCATGACAACGGAGCGGTCCCACCCTGTAGGCGGCCTCTGACCCTGGCCTCTGGATGTCACCCAGTACCAGAGACCTGACTGGGAGGCTCTCCCTGTGGATAAGCAGGCCTGAGTCTTCAGCCCTGGTGGAAAAAGGAAAGGAGGAGGAGGAGGAAGTGAGGAAATAGAATAAAAGCAAAAATAAAGCGGAAAGAAAAGAGATGAAAGACGAAAAAGGTTTACGGAGGAGATAAAGGCAAAGATAAAATGAGGAAAACGATGTAGACGAAGAGGAAGCAACAGGATGAGGAGATAGATTAATATGTAAAAGAACAAAAAACTATGCAGAGAATGAACAAAAACACACCAGTCACCCAACCCAAATCATGCTCATTTTCGTGCATAGATTTACTGGTGTGTATATTTTTAATGTTACATCAGTCTTGTGACAACATTACATGTTGCCACAAGCTGATGCAAACATTGCAGTGTGTAGGTGTAATCTCTCGGGAACCTGTTTATTCCAAAACCAAATCATAACCATCCTGACGCTCAGCACTCCATGCGTGGCAGTTTATGGAACAGCTACTCCCAAAACACCTCCTGTCCATCCAGGCCCACACCCGGCTTTATGCACTGAAGATTAATATGAATGTTAACCTTGTTGCTAAGGAAAGCTGTGGATAAAAATACATTCAGCACTGGAAGGACTGATGTATGCAGCAGTTTGAGGGTCTGATAAAATATTGAAGAGCAGCTATGGCAGCTGAGGTATGTAAAAATAGAGGCGCCACTGCACAAACAGTTCGGACCGGTGGTAGAAGAGTGACAGAAGACATGAAGTGAGGCATGGAAGGAACCTTTACAGCATGAGGAAACATTAAAACAGTTTTGTTTTTTACTCTGCTCAATTTATCCCCGTCGACTGGATGTTTGCCAAAGTTTCAAGTCGAGCAGGGACAGCATGTTTGTTCAAAGTCATCAGACATGTTTTCATTTTCCTGAGGAAATTACATTTAGTCAGACGACTTTGCACATATATCTTCTCTTCTTATGTCTCGTGTCTATTTTTTGTATGTGAGTATGATTGTTCCTATTTTCTTCAGACAATCTGATATTGACATGTTTTGGTAACCAACCCAGATTTTCTTTTCCTTATTATTTTGTGTATTTTATAAGAAATAAAATCATTTGATGAAAAAATTTCATCAAATGATCTTCACTTTTCTTTAAATTGGTCACACTGAACAGATTTCTTTTTCTTCTTCTTTTTTTTTTATGTTGATTCTCCCTAATAACTTTTTTACATTTTCTGGGAAGGCCAACCCCGTATTACTGAACAAACTGCTATGTAAACTTTTACTTTTCCTTTACTTTTATGTCAATATTCTATTATTTTTTTCCTGAAAAGCAAGCATGGTACCAGTTATTACAAACAAATGGACCTTGTGTAGCAGAGCATTCTGCCCATAGTCTTCTGTTTTCTTTTCATTGGACATGATAGTTAGTTGATGGTGGATGCTTGAAAGAGACACTTAAACTTGAGGTGTGTGACCTTACAAGCACAAAACACCCTGAAAAAAACATTACCTTATGACTATAAGTACTGAGAAAAATATATAAATACATGTAAATATGAGTTTATTAATTTCAGTACCACTCCATGCGGTCAGCGTCACAGTTGCAGTAGTGTTGTGGGTCCACACAGTCGCCCTGCAGGCCGCAGGCACACTGCTGACTTCCTGGTTGAGCTCCGCCCCAGTAAGTCTGGAGACGACCGGAGCCGGGACCACCGAGCCACCAGCTGAACGGAGACCCCTCTGAAACACACACGACAGCTGAGCTAACACATGAGGAACCATTTTGTTGTATCAGATTCAGCCTTCAGTCGCACTACTAGAAACATGCTGCTGAGAGAGGATATTGTGCTGTGTAAAACTGAGGAGAGAAGCACATTTACCTTTGTAAACAGTGCTAGAAACACCCCTACAAAACCCCAAAGTTACAGTATCTCTCAACATTTCACTGGCAACACTACATGAATGCTGCAGCACTATTTACGAGGTAAATGTGTGTCTCCTCAGTTTTATACGCCACAACATCTTCACAAAGAGCACTCAGCTATTTTCTCTCAGGTGCACATTTCTTTGTCTTGTTTCCAAAAAAAACACATTTGTGTGAGGAATAAATAAGGGAACAAAAACTTCTCTTTAGAAAGGCTGCCAAGTATGTCTTGGCTTTTACATACTGAAAACGCTTCTTGGACAAAACATTGTGGCCACGATATAAAAAATGTTTTGTATTGTAAGTTGTGAGCATCATTAATAAGAGAACATTGTGGGTGTAGCTACTTTTTCTCTTTCCATCCTTTTCCTCATCCAAAAAATAAAACAATCTCCCTTTTATCCTTTTGTTTACATTTCATGTGTTTTACTGGAACACAGCACCCCTATAATAAATCCTAAAATACTGTACAGACTGAATCTTTTGCACCAATGCAGCCAAGGTACAAGGTTCTTCATTTGTCACATGCACAAAGATACAGAGTAAAATAAGCAGTGAATCAAAGCAATATAATAGTCAGAAGATAAAATGAACTAAACTCAATAAAACTAAAATAGCTATATAACTACATAAAACTTTATGTATAAATACAAATCTATATAAACATATAATATAGATTGTATAGATGTGTAGAACTTTATACACATACATAAAAACATAAATCTACCAGTATTTACAGTTAGAGTGTGAAAGTGGCAGAATCAAACAAACAGGATGTGGATGTTTTAGACATGTTCACATGTGTGTGTGGAAGTTTGTTAAAGTGGAGAGTGTGTGTTGAGGATCTGGTCTTTCGGTTTAGGTCATGTGACAGCAGAGGTGTCCCCCTGACCTCCACAGTCTTAAGAGTCTACTGTTGGGGAGTGTAGTGTCTCTCATGATGTTCTGGGCTCTCATCTTCACCCTCCTGCTGTAGGTTGTCCTGCAGGGGGGCTGTTCTGGTGGTGTATTCAGCCGATCTCTGCAGGGCGCCTGTCATGCTGCCTGTCAGGACTGTCTAAGGTCTTCAGGATGGAAGCTGAGACCTTGAATTAGTGAAGCTGTCAGAGGAAGCAGAGCCCATGTCTGGATTTTTTTAGCATGTGCTGGGTGTGAGGAGCTCAGGTGAGGTTCTCTGTGATGTGTACACCCTCTCCAACGACGATCTTCAGCCGTGTTCGTGTCTGCTGATGTGCTGTCTCCTAAAACACTTTACAGTAAGCCACTCTAAAACCACAAACTGAATGCCAAGTGTTGTGGAAATCTTGTGAGCTGGAGAAGAAGACGATCCCCAGGAGTTCAGATGTCTCAGGCAGAAGTATTTACTGTAAACTTGACAACAAGGGTGAAAATGATGAGCAGTACAAAGCCAGCATGTGAATCGAGTTGTGAATCTTTCTGAAGCTGTCTGGTCTGTATATATTCCTAGGTAGCACATGGTTACAACACTATTCTGTAGCTTACCCAAATGAGGCTAAGCTACAGTCTAAACCTATGTGTGTGACGACGCTGTCGGCCCCTTTAACCCGGTCACTGTCACATGTTCTTACCGTATGTTACATGTGTCGTGCCCTTTGCCTCTCTTCACTCATCCTTGTCTAGAACTGGATTTGGGCAGTTCTCTCTGAGTTATGCTTTTCCCTGCCTCCTTATCTATAAGACCCTGGTTTCCCTGGCGACAGAGGATAAAGATGGTTCCATCTAGACACTATCAGTCATAATAGGAGTTAAACATTGAACCACTGTGTCACAATGTGAGTTCTTTATGAATTCTTGGACTTAATTTCAATATAAAATAAATAAACTGGCAGTTTCGGCAACATGTTCAAGTGGAAAGTCCCACTAGTAAAAGGGCAACATGCACAGTGTGCAAGGCTCCAATTTCAAGTGGTGGCACAAGTTTTAGGACAAACAGGGTAGGAAGTGATATTTATATCAAGACTTATTTCTTTATGAATGACAGTCATATTAGATAATAAAAGAGAAGGCATTCGTGTGTCCATGTTTTACAAAGGGTTTAACCAGAGTCACACCATAAAGGAATGACAGAAATCATACCACATCCATACAGGGTTAGTAATATTGAGCTGTTATTTTTTTATATGTAATGTTATCGGATCAGTACTCAGCCGATACACAAGTATCAAAAACGCTATCGGAGCATCTCTATATTCTTTCCTTAATCCATCTGCCCTTAATGGTTCCAGCCTTGTTTTACTGCAAACTGGCTGCAACCAGAAAGAGGCTGAACAGAAGACATTAATATCAAAAGATTATCCCAGTGCCCTGCAGCAGTTTTCTCTAAAGTTGTAAAATTAGAACCCTGTATGCTGCTTGAATGCAAAAAAAAAAATTCAAGATAAATGTTGAAACGCTGTTTGTATAATGGTGGTCATAAATCATTTCCTAACCACTTTCTCACAGGCAGTGTTTGCCATAAGAAAAATGCATGTCTACACACTTTTGGTGGTTTAACTGATTCTCAGTCACAGCGTTAGGGTCAATTAATGACTTGTAAGACCATGAAAAAGCATTTGAGGAAAAACAAAGAACAAAATCCAGACAAACTAATTGGCCTCAATGCTGAGTCTAAAAGGAGGAGACATTTATACAAATCGTACACAGTCCATTTGTCTGACTCGCTGGTAAATGGGAAGAAAATCCTTGGAACCTGATTAAGTGTGCAGCAATGAGCGTAACAATTATTTTGTTTTGTCTGGTAGAGCGGGAAAAATGTGCGGAGCTCAAGGGAGTTAAATTGTTTTCTCCAGAGCTTTTGGTTTTGTACAAAATGATGTATGGCTCATAGCTCGCTCCTGTTAAATTGGATTCAAAGGCGAGTGTGATTCAGTGTTTATGACTTCAGTGAATCAAGCCCTTCAAAGACAAAGATAAATAAATAAATAAAAACATGAACACATACTTGACTATCTTAAAGCTAACTGATAATCTGATCTAGTAGGAGTGGGTACATCCCAGTTTCCGTATTTGATTGATCCTCAATCCTCAATCCCCAGTCCTCCATCTTGAAGGTCGTCCCATAGCTCTTATGAGTGAGGATACACAAGACCATGGTTCACAGCAGTCTTTCAACGGTCTGACACAGCCTTTCTGTTATAAATCTCAGTCATTCAACACTGGAATCTGCACCGTAACGTCACCATTGTATGAAAGGAAAAAAGGCTTTACCTGGAGTGTTGAGGAGGCGGGACTTCCTGCAGTGGTAGGACAGTTCCTGTTCACAGTGATCTGATTGGCTAATAGCAGCCAACAGCTGCTCCTCTTTAGTCAAGTAGTCAAAGTGAACCGAATGCTGGTTCACACCAGGAGACGGTCGGACTCTGGTCAGGTCTGTGTTGTTGTGCTGGATCACCATCCACGTGTTCTCCTCTGGAGAGGCAGACACAAGGAAACACAACCATTGCTATGCTGCTAATGACACTGTGTGGTAAAAGGGAAGGGAAGGTTTCTCTTGTTCTTCCCCTTTTCATTTTTTCATTTTGAACTTGAACTTTTCTGTTCTCTCTCTATTTCTTGTTGATTTTTTTTTATTAAAAAGATGGAAGAAATATGGACAGAGAAAGAGATGAATGGAGGAAAAAGAGAGACTGAGGTAAAGATGGGAACAGAAACGGAGCCTTGTAGGGAAAGGAGGATGAAAGATGAAGTGGGTCACAGAAAGAAGATGACATCATCATTTACAATTATGTAAATGTTACGTCATGTGAAACGCTGAGTGATGTTGGGAGGATGAAGGGGAGTGAATGTGTGTGTGTGTGTGTGTGTGTGTGTGTGAGTCACCTGTCATGTTGCAGTAGACCAGCTGTGGTTTGATTGGTCCGCTGCCGTCCACGTCGATGTAAAAATGTCCCGAGGAGTTGCCGTTGTGTTTGTACGCCTCACAGGACTGTTCATACACAGCTGGGAGGAAAATAATGCGATCAGCTTCAACATGAATCACATCAACATCAGCACATCTGCTGGCACACAGGAGCTGTGAGGGGATGGAGATCACACCCCGTGGAGGATTATGGGTGCTTCTTCATACGTATGTATCACCACTGAATCATAACCAGCATGAAGCGTTTTATTTCTGCAGCAGCGTCCCATGAAGTCAAGATCAGTCCAGCTGGAGAGGACAGTAATGACTGATGGGAAGTCAATGACTCAATAAATAAAACCTTTATCAGCCCCGCCTCTTCCTCTCTATCTCCACAAGTCTTCCTCTTCCTCCTCCTCCAGTCACACACACACACCTGTTCTTCCTCTGCAGCCACATAATCGAGCCCTTCAAGTCAAATCCATATCTAAAGGTTCCCACACTCTGCTCACCTGTTTATCTCGCTTCTTCTCCACAGCCAAAGGCCTTTTATTCATCACATTGCCTCAGTGTATTTAGAAAAAGGTTTTCACAGAAACGTCAGCAATAAAAAATGAGAGCAGAGGTGAGGTGTGTGGGAAACTCTCCACTTTTGGTCTTGAGGTGTTTGGCTCAAAGGGAATCGGCACAGAACCAGTAAATCCCACCAATGAGCTCACCTTACCTCTGCAGTTTTATTTGTTCATTCTGTATTTGGAAATTTAGTCACAGCTACAGACTCATTAACCTCCATCAAAACACTCACACACAAACAGGTTTTAGAGGTACTCTGCAGTGGGCAAAGAATATTATGCAGGCATCACATGAAGCTTGCAAAGAGGTCGCTTTATTTAAAAAATGTCCCCAGGCTGCAGCCGAAACAAAAACCAAGAAATACTTTTTTTGTTCTGACAAAACTCACACTTTGCTGCTCCTACGCTAAAGGGGGAAAAACCCAGTACAGCTGTAATTACTGAGCAATATTGCTGTTAAATGCATCTGTGATTGCCACCCTGAGAATAACAGGTTTTCTTGGTCTTGAAGGTCGAGCTGTAAATGGAGCAGCTGCCTTTAAGAGTCAACTTAAGAACCCTTCACATGAATGATAGAGAGAACTGACGTGTACATTAAAACTAGTAACATTAATAGTACTCCCCAGGCTGTTTTTATTCATTCATTTTTAATCTCTGTGCTGTCTCACTGAGTGCTCTATTTCTGTTATTTTATTTTCTCTTCAGTTTGCCTCTGTGCTAAAATCCAGTTATTGTGTGTAAAAGGAAATTCATTATCTGCTGCTGTTGCTCTTTCTCACATTTTACCTCTCCATTGATTCTAATTTTTCCATTTTATCTGTCATTGCTCTCTCACTCTCTCTCTCTGTTTCTAATCCTATCTCCATGCAACATACGAGTCATTTCAACTGAAAATATATCTTGGGAGAAATGTATTGCCACCGTGATTATCTTTTTATATACACATAATGAGGAACTAAAGCAAGATTAAACTTTTTTCATGGTTATGTTTAGATTCTCAGAGCACTTGGTTAAGGTTAGGGGAAGATCATGGTCTTGGTTAAATACTGAATAAAAGTGATTTAAAGCATGAGACAAAACAAGTTTTATTCATTAATATTTAACCAAAACCCTAACATTGTCTAAATCAAAGAGCTTTTGTCACCTAAGCATAACCACACCATAATAATAGTAGTAGTAATAGATTTGCCAGAGTAGAGTGTGCACTCCTGAATAAACTACAATATAAAGACCATCAAAGCGAGCTCTGTATTACTAGGTAATCTTGTGGCTTTGTCAGTTTTAATCTTATCACTTTTGTTATAATTAAGTTGATATTATTATGTTTACATGGTGCTCATTCCTAAATAAAGGTCTGTTCAGTAACTGACACACAACTAGTATTACCACCTTGTGGTTGTTCGCCTTTACCAACCAGTCAAGTTGCAGGAAATATGGTCATTATCTTTGCAGAACATTATGATGTCAGAATGAAGTTGACCTTTGACCATTTGGATGAAAAACATCATCACTTCATCATCTTATTTGACATTTGTGTTAAACTGTGTCATACCTAGCAAAGGAATTAGCTAGTTATCGCAAAAAACATGTTTTGAGAGGTCAGAGTGACCTTGACCTTTGACCTTTGACCACCAAGTTCTAATCAGCTCATCCTTGAGTCCAAGTGGATGTTTGCGCCAAATTTGAATGTTAGTGAGATATCGTATTCACGAGACAGATGGACAACCCGGTAACATAATGCCTCCAGCCCCGGCTATCGCCGGTGCGGAGGCGTAACAATCCTGCAAAGTACTAGTGTGCTCTCTACCGGATTAATTCCTAAAGGTAACAGATTAAAGTACAGTACACAATGAAAAGAGATCAGGAGGAACCCGGGGTGTCAAATGCTCCAGCTCGATAGCAGGTTAATCCGGCCCTTTTGTCCAAGAGCCATGTTTGTCTGACAGGTGACTTACAGCTGTGGCAGGTGGCTCCGCTGTAGCCGCTGTCAGAGCAGTTACAGTGGAAGACGGTCCAGGACTGACTGCAGAGGCCGCCATGTTCACAACGACTGGGAGAACACCTGAGAGAGAGAGAGAGAGAGAGAGAGAGAGAGAGAGAGAGAGAGAGAGAGAAATAGTCTCCATAGTTCATCGTAAAGTTTCCCAAGAATTTTATTTCAGTCCCCAACTGATGGACTCGTGTGTGGGAGGAACTTGAAGGTTTCATTTCTGCCGTCAAGAAAAAAAATACAGAGAAATGTATTACAACATTCTTCTCTATACTGTATACTGAGACAGCAGATTTACAAAAGAAAATCAATGTTTGTTTTGGCAGCCTGAATATTTGGGAACAATTCACCAGGTTTTGCTGCCAAAAATCTGTCATCAAGGACAAAAGCAGTCGATGCCAAAAACCACCCCTAATCACTTATTGTCAAGAAAAGTCCACTTTTTTGGTTTGTTTCAAAAGCAGCTGAAGAATATTTCTATATTTCAGTTGAGTCATTTATCTTACAATGAGTGAACACACTCAGTGGATACATTTCAGATTTTGTCTGTTACATAAAGCTATTTTCATTAAAAGGGACAGAAAGCATTTTATATTACGCATAATATTCATTTTATGGCCAAATGTGTGTGTAGGAGGATCCGAGATAATGTAACTACTGGACGCAGAGAGTATTTCATTTTTAACATCTGGAGGTCATATTTTCCATTTTGGCAACATGTTGTTGTGGGAGGTTGTTGAACTGAAAAAGAAAAAACTTTCTAAACATTGACTGGAAAACCACTGCACCCTTTCTGCAAAAGATTAAAAACTTTGTTATCATGCATTCTGTGTGGCCTGAGCACCATTGCAGAGCACAAATCTAAGCTAAACCTTGTTAAAACACCTTGATAAATGTATCAGGACAGCTGTGATTTAGAAAATACCTGCCTTAGAGTTTGACTGGATAAAAATAAACTCCTCCGGAGTATATCACTCCACGGTTCAGCTGCTCTCTTGTAACATTTTCTGTGCTTGAACTTCTCCAAACATCTGTCACACACTGTCAAGCTTTAGCAGGATCATCCATCCATAAATCCATCAAGGTCTTTTCTTCTTCATCCATTTTTACACCATGTGTGCCCATACATCAGACGTGTTTCAGACATGTTTCATCATTAGACACGTCATGACTGAACTCATTTTAAATCCTTGTGGTGTCAAATAAGGAACGCGACCTTTTACATCAACTAATTTTACCTTCCCTTTACTTTTACTTTCACCTTTTGAGCATCACTATTTGTTACATACACTTTTTCCTAAGGTGTTGTCTGCTTAGTTATGACCACATCCAGCTGTGCCACCATACATCACAGCTGAGTGATGAAAAACACACGATGTCACCACTAGTTAGCAGGGTCAGCCGGATTGTGAGACGCGGCCAAGTTACTCTTTAAAGTGTCGCTTCAGTTGTTTGGTTGTTGGGCTCTTGATTAATCTCAGGCCGATTCTGAGATGATAAAACACAGTTAACATTCTAGGCTTATATCTTACCCAGTGTAATGAGACTTTTCTCCAGGTTGTGTTAGTTTACCTGATTAAACATAGCTGAGCCTGTGGTGTACACTGTCACTGAAATGATAAAGACCTCACTCTACTAAACAGGGGTGGGAGAACCAAACAAAAGCAGATAATAGGTCTTTGTATTTCTACATGAGGAAGCATGGTGCCTGTCTGAATGTTACATTAATGCCACTTTGTCATTTGCTCTCTGTGCAGTTTTGTTGACTTGTGGGCAATAGTAGCTTTGTATTGTAGTATAACTTTGTAAGCAGTGTGTTTTATATTTATCCTGTCTTGGCCTCACCCTGTTGCATTTGGCTTAGCTATTTTTATTCACATGGATTGCCTCCATTTGTTCCAGCAGGCCCGACTGATTCCTACAACAAGGTTTAACTCTCTCTCTCACACTCACACTCACACACACACACACACACACACACACACACACACACACACACACACACATACACAATGATAACCACTTTTCTCCAGTCCCATCTCATCAGCTCTCAGGTCTGTCTTTGTGAATGACTTTGTGTGTTGGTAGTTTGTGGGGCGGGAGCCTTGACGATTCTGTATATATCGTAATATTAAGAGATGCAAGTTTTGAATACTAAATATAAACGTATGTGACAGTGTGTGAGTGTGTGTTTGCTCAAACCCAGGCAGGAATATTGAGTAGAAAACAGATGACTGTACAGAATCTGCAGCCTCCCTTTTATTTAGATAAAAGCCCTGAGTCAGCAGCCTGTCAGCCTGCTACAGGCTGATTTTTACCTCCATTTATCTCTATACTGCTTTAATCTAAAGTCAGTGAATTAGCATTCACATTAATTTTACAATATTAACCCAGAGTATCACTTTATTCTGCTGACTTATATTTTAGTGTGTGTACAATGTGGGTTTTGATTCTTGGAGCGGCGTTCATTTCTTTGAAGAGCCATGATTACGATGCTGATGATGACGATGATGAAGAAGAAGATGCATTTTTAAGATGAAGAAGGAGGAGGAGACTTGACTTCTAGCCTAATTTAATGAAACACCCCACAGAAAAAGAAGACAAGAAACAAAAACCCTAACCCCTGCCCCCCCCCCCCAGTCTGCACACACCAAACAAATACACACATGTCCGACCCACACATGCAGGTGTATACAACATTTTGGGTACCTCCGATGAGATTACTTTCTTCAGCTGTTAATGCATTCTTGCTTTTTATTTCATGAATTTAAAAACTAGAAAAAAATTAAATGGTAATTTCAGCATGTGCAAAAATTTGGGCACCCTACTAAGTCAGTACCTAACTCCCCAAACCCTCCTTTGGCAGATATCGCAGCTGACAAACACTTTATAGCAGCTAAAAGTCTTTTTATTCTTCACTGAGGAATTTTCGCCTAAGGATCCCTAAAGATAACTTCAAAATCAGAAATATTTTTACGCTGTCTTGGACACACAAAATCAAGATCTACCTTGCAGTCAGGGGAGCCAAAAGCTTCAGCTTATGTTTCTTGGAGTGGTTCATGGTGGATTTTGAGCTCTGCTTCGGATCACTGTCCTGTTGTACAAGCCAGCCTCTTTTCATTTTCACTTTCTTGACCAACTGCAGGACATTTGTATCCACAACCTGCTGATATTTAGTGGAATCCATTCTTCTTTTGTATTTGTGAAATGTTTCCTGAGCTGATACACAATTCAAAAGCAGAATATTTCCAACCCCAGTAAAGTTAATGAAACAAAGTAACTGCACATTTGTATTTGAAGAAAGGCTCATTTTTAATATCTGTTTGCTGGAGAGTCATTTTTTACTTCTATTCATTTCAAAAATCAATAAAATATGTAATTGCCCAGTGGTGCCCAAAGTTTTGAAAACAACTGTATTTCATAAAAACAGATCATTGAAACCAGTTTCTTTCACAGAACCAAAACAACAACAGTGTCACAGACTGATAACTAGTTAAGTCCACACTCAAACTGCAATACAGCCTCATCTACACCACAACTCCACTGAAATGTCAGACACAGAAACACAGACACACACTCAGCCCTGAGGCCCTCACAGAGCAGCACTTTAAACACTGAGTCAGGGTCCATCAGCTCGCTATCCTGCAGCGCCATGTGAGCCAATTTAGCCTGACAGCACTTTTAACTTCAGTCCTCACAGACCACATTGATCCCAGTACGTACAGCCATGCAGAGAAGCCTCCTCCTATCTCCGCTGTGCTCCATGCGTTTGTTGACAGTCAATAAAAACCTGGTGTGCACGCTCAGAAATTTAAAACAGCTTACGGTAGTCATGTTGATGGCAGTGAAACACAAAAAACACACACCCCGACTCACATTTTAACACTGATTTTCTGATGTGTGTGTGTTAATCTAGCATTTTACATGAACTGAAAATAATCAGGCAGGTTTGGTATAAAACAAGGTGTTGATCCGATTATATAGTAAAGAGGCTCCTTGTTCCATAGGTGCTGTTAATGTGTGTTTGCGTTGGATAATTATACTCTTTGGTACCAGCAACACACCCAAACACACCCATACACACCACTGCAGATATAATAACCTGGTCTGAAGCACTGCCACAAATAGAAGCCGTGTCGTGAGTCCATTTTCCACCTGACTTTACATCTCATGGGACCAAAATTCAATCAGCAGGATTACACTCGGAGAATATGGGGTAGATTTTTTTTTTTTTTCGTCTTTACTGGAAAACAGGATTTTTTTTTGTAGGTTTGTTTCAGTGATCAGTCAGATCCGTGCAAGAACTGCATTGTACTGATTTAATAATCTAATGAATGCAGAGAAAGGGAGACATTTTAATTAAAATCACTGGAGCAGATTCTCTTTATCTACCAAAGATATGTGGTCGGTTCAATATTGGTGTTTATGCTAATGTTTACACACAACATACTGTGTGTGTGTGTGTGCGTGTGTGTGTGTGACTGTGTGTGTGCTATGCCCTAGAGGCGAGTGTATAATTGTTGTAATTGTCTCATTAATTGTGCTGCTATTTGCTGTGACTGCTCTCTCTCCCTCCCTCCTCCCTCTGCCTCGCTCATCTCCTGAGCTTGAAGTTATCGCTCTGATCCTGCGCTGTCACTGACTGTCATTTATCATCTTACCATCCATGATTTACACCAAAAATATTTATCATGAGGTCTAAACTCGCTCTACACATCAATTCATTTCAGTTCAGCTCTCTGTTCACTCTTTGACTTACATGAATTTTGCTGAAACACAAGTGCCAATTACATTAGATAGTATTTAAAATCTAATCATAAGTTAAAAAAATCATAGAAGACATAATCAATATCTTTATATTAACAATTGGTCACACGGCTACTTGTATTTAAGCTCTACAGAGCTTTACAGCGACTTTCGGTTTTACTGTTTCTTTACTGATTTGTTTCACTCTCACTGCTGTCATCAGCCTCATTTCCAGCCACAGCAGGCAGTGAAAAACAACAGCAAATCTACTGCACACCACCTGCTCAGCCGCACACCGTAGACACACAACGTTAGAGACTAGCTGGTGAACATAGCGGAGCATTAAGCAGCTGACGAGCCAGATATTTCCCTCAAGAGCTGGTGGAGACCAAAACACTGAGCTAAAAGGAGAGTGAATGTTGGACCTGCATTTATCAGATGGACACACACACAAACGTGAGTCAAAATTACTCTGTATCTGCTGAACTTGTAAATAGATCAACTTCAAAGCTGATGATCACATTGACCATTAAAAATTTACATGAATGTCTTACTTGTGATTGTTTCTACAATGGGAGAAGAAGCACATCTTTTCTGCATCTCATGTCATTGGACACAAACATCAGATAGACACAAACACAATGTTTGCCTCTTGTGTTCCTGTCTTCTGTTTTATAGGTTGAAAATGTTTTTTGTTTCTCTCTCTATGTTATACAGTTGTATTCCTGTCGATGTTAGTGCTATGATATTTGCATAATTAAAGGCCGCCAGCCCACCTTTCCACCAACATATCTTTATCTCTCCCTCCGAGATGACTGAAATGACATTTACATAACTGACATTATAACTTGACATTCTTTATATTTGCATTAATACTGATATATGGATCTAGGTGCCGATCAAAGCCTCTAAAAAACTCTATAACCTGACTTCCAGCCTTTTGTCCACACACTTTTGGCCATCTTGCAAGTTGTTCATGACTGGTGGGTTCTAGTAGGAACAGAGCAGAAGTCCAAGCGGAACAGAAATCAGCAAGAATACAATTGTCACACCACTGGTCTCCACTGAACAATAATTCTGTATTTCCCAGAGGAGATACTGTGATAATGTGAAATAATAGATACAATATCTTATGATTCTTTGTGTGTATCAGTCAGTGTGTGTCCTTCAGCTCACTTTTAAACTACTCTGCCAGCAAAGAGAGAAGGGAAGAAAAATGATCTACAAAAATGTTGCTTTAAAAAATTCTGCTAAAAGAGAAATTAAAGAAAAAACAACTCAAACTTTCATGGTAAGATGTTGTGCCACCATGTGCTGCCAGAGCAGCTTCAATGCTCCTTGTATAAGTTGCTGAACTCTACTGGAGGATGAACGTTCCCTAAGTTGGTGTTGGAGAGCGCTATCTAACACGTCGGTCCAAAATCTCCAACTTGTGTTCAACTAGGTTTAGATCTGGAGATTGTGAACATCATTGCATATAATTAACTTCATTTTCATTCTAATTAAACCATTCACTGACCCGTCATACCCTATGAATGGAGGCATTTGTCTTAAGGACCAATGGACAAATGTCCTCATGGTGTCAGATCTCACTCCCAGTAATTTTTCTATTGAAGGCTTTCACTTGCTTACTCTGTATTTTAGACACTGAGACTAAAATCCAATCAAATATTAACTTGTAATTTCAGGTTCTAACAGTTATTCCATCTTTATCATCAAAAAGTTGTTTTTTTTATTGATTTATGTCACCAGGGTGGCCGAGTGGTTAAGGCGTTGCACTTAAGATGCAATGGACGCAGAAGTCCTCGTGGGTTCGAACCCCACTCCTGGTAGATGGTTTTCAATTACTGGGACAATCACTTTTGTTATATGTATTATATATATATATATTTAATGCATTAACTTATCACAATATATTATATGAGAGCTACATCAGAGGTACTAGCAAAGCAGCAACAATGCCATATGCATCTCAAGAAAAATATCAGCAATAAAGGCAAATTATTTGTTTTTTAAAATCAACATGCAAAGACAACTGTGTTAACTGACATATAAGAGAGACCGCAGTCATATTTTTCTTTACCAATGAAAGCTAAAAACTGCAGTCACAGGGATGGCTGAGTGGTTGAGGTGTTTGTCATGGTGTCAGATCTCACTCTTCCTCATACTTTTCTAATGAAGGCTTTCACTTGCTTACTCTGTAGTTTAGACATTGAGCCTAAAATCCAATCAAATATTGACTTGTAGTTTCAGGGACTCAGCTGTTTCCTCTTTATCTGCAAAAAGATGTTTTTTGACCTGTTTGCTTATGTCACCAGGATGGCCGAGTGGTTAAGGCGTTGCACTCAAGATGCAATGGACACAAAGTCCTCGTGGGTTCAAATCCCACTCCTGGTAGGAGATTTCTTAATTGGGGGTTAAATACTTAAGAACAGAGGCACATTATCTTTGCCTGGTGACCAGCAAACAGCAGAGAAAAATTCATTTATCCTAATAAAACAGTTTCACCTGGAACCTTTGTGACTGCTTGTTGCTTCCAGTGTTTCCTCTACATTCATTTAGCAGTGGCGGCCCGCCACTGCTAAACCATAGCCGCCACGCCTTCAAATTTCTTTTTTTTCTTTTTTTTTATTGTCGCAAATCCACCACCGCCACATTTCTCCCCCTTCACAGCACAGCCTGTGTGATGATGAGCGCAACAGCGGGGGGAGGGGAGGAGAGGGGAGGGAAAGAGTGGGGTGGTTGGGGGATCCTATTGGAGTTAATTACTCGCGAGAGCGCGGCCTTGAAAGTGACGTCACGTCAGGCACCAGGTCAGAGTCAGAGAAGTTTAGTCGTGAGGAATAAGGCAGCGAATTACTGGAGAAAAGGTAGACTTATTAGCCAACTCAGTGACGCTAACTTGGGTAAACTAATTGATAGCATTAAGCTAATATCTACACGTCATTATGTATTAACTGCTGACTGCATTTTCAGACGAGCTTGTTCAGATACTTCTCTAAGAAGAGAAAGACAACAGATGAAGAAGACGCTAGTCAGGTAGCCTGTCATAAGCCTTTTACTGACTCGTAAATGATGATGGTTAGGTAAAAAATAGTATTTTAATGTTCACACTTGTAATCAGATGTGATGTGAGTGTAAACTATATAACGCTGTTAGCGTTACGTTACTCACACTTTTAATGTAATCTTATTAGACAAGTAACATTAGACATGGAGGAGTTGTTAAACAAAGTGGAGGAGAGCAGAGCACAGCAGCGGGAGAGCTGGGTGAAGGTGCAGGAGAGAGAGATGAGCCTGGGTGCAAACTTTGCCACTGACTCTACCCCCCCGAGAGCATGCCCCCCACTGCTGAAAAAAATCCTAGAGGAAACACTGGCTTCCCTCGGAGGTCAACATGGTTTGAAACGGGTCAATAATTCCTGTGTCGAAGTAAGCCATTTATCATTTCTGTCACCTCCAAGAGTGAATGTACTCATCATGGAAACTAAACTGATGTGAAAAAGCTCAGGCTGTGCAGAACATGAGGGAAAGCTCATATCAGCTGTAATAGAAAAGTAACAAAAATGTGCCTTAACACACTGAATATTATTGAACTGTTTTTTGGAAACTGACCTGTCGATAATTCCACACATGTCAACCTGCAGGTTGCTGTAATTTCCCAGCTGCTTTTGCTGCACCATGATCAGGTCCACGTTTCTGTTGTCCAGGGTTAAGAGACGCATGCAGCCCTGGAAGACGTTAAAAGGGTTTCGGCATTCCTGACTGTCGTCTTCAGCAGGACAACCTGAACAGAAGAGAGAGGAGTTAGACAGTTAGTTGGATGGAGCGCACATGACAACTGCTTGCTGATACTGATGAATATTTAATGATAAACTGGGACATTTACTGTAAATATTCTGGCTGAGAAATATGCTATACTCAGTCTAGTGTTGAGCAGCTTCCATTTGGCTGTTTGACGCGTGGCAGATTTGAATTGTTCACAAAGATATAGCTGACCTGTTTTACACTTACCACCAAAGAAGAGGTGACTTTCAACGGTGACAGGAAACGAGGGGCTGGCGTGAGCGGAGCCTCCTTCCTCTTTATCCACAGCGATGGTCAGACGTCCTTCTCTGGAGTTCAGCTCCACTGAATGCCACTGACCATCATTCAGAGCAGAACCTGGGAAACCAAAACCTCATTAATACACACAGCGGGGAATTAGATTTGTTTTTTTTTCTCAGGTGTTCATGGCTGCACATGGAGCCATTAAGACCTGCAGCAGATGTTATAAGAGCATTTTTGTTCCAAGGAGGAAAGGGCAAGCATGGGCATTCATGTAGTAATGACCAAATTAGATATCCGATCACTCCACAGCCTGCCACACAGGCATCATGTTGCTATTTGGAAACAGCTTGTAAATCATGTCTTTCTCACAATGAAACACTATTTAGAAGAATATTATGAGGCAAGACCAAAAAATAATTTGCCCAGACAAAGCATCTACCTCCTGCATCCTCTGTGTCACTGGCTTCATTAATTTTAAGGTTAACATGAAACTATGGGGTATACCTCTCATAAGGCTTGAAACAGCAATACACCATTAGAGTAATCACTAATTCAACTGCTAATGGTTACAGGGATGATGGATTAAGGTTCTGGGTGTTGCTACCTTACCTGCACTTAGCTCCAGCAGTGCCCTGCCAGCCTTGTGGATCTGTAGCCGGAGCATGGCTTCACTCAGGTACAGCCATACGACTCCCCCTTGCTGAGGGAGGTCAAATGTGAGCAGAAGCCCCGCCTTGTTCCACGTCCTGAATTGTAATCCAACAGACAAGTCCCCTGAAGAGGATGCCGTCGCACCCGGCAACTGGAGGAAGCTCTGGGGGCCGGGGAACGTCACTGCGACGGAAACTGGCTCAGCACAAGAAAAGGTCACGTTGCCCTGAGACGGAGAGATGCAGAGTGGAGAGAGAGAGAAAGAGGGGAAGTGAGACAGGAAAATGATTATTAGAGAGATAAAACAACATGAAACATGAATATTAATCAGTTGCAGAGGGCGTGTCGGTGCGACCTCATGTCGCAGTGATCTCATCAGCAAGTCTCCTTAAAGAGGACATCAGTATTACCATAATGATAACAGCAAACCTTAAGATAAGATTAGGAAAGAAAACTGAAAATACCAAAGTCACCTAGCTTGGATGTAAGAGAGATAAAGACTGAAAATGAAAGAGGGAGAGCAGACAATGTGCCCAGACCTGCTATATCTTGACATCTCTGTTACAGTCTATTGTTTTGAGTAGTGGTAATGACTCCAGGCCCATTGCTAAAGCTGCAGCAGTAATATATTACAGTCCCAGCTCTCTTCTGGGAACATCAGCCTGCTATCATCTAAAAGCCCTTTGTGGTGCAGTTAAAGTGATGTACAATAATTCATGTTGGAGTGGGATGTGCTACCCCACAACACAAAGTAAAAAGTTACCTAAAAACCCTGAAAAGCCATAAGACTCCAACACCGACACACCAACCCTTCTCCATATACATCTATTTTCTTTGTACTAATTCCTCCCCTTTCAGAGCCACGTGAAATACCATTTAGTCCCTGTATTAAACTGGACCATAACCTTAAGAGCCATAGCATCATTACAAAATGGCCTCTATTAGATCTTCAGTCATGCATGTGAATCTGTGTACCTCTTTACTGAGAATTCATGTTTTTTTTTTTTCCTGCTGTCTGGATCTTTACTGTAATGAGAGAGCGTTTATTACTCCCTGCAGAAACGCTTCACAGCCTCTACATGATGAGCTCGCTCCACTCATTGTGAATGTAGAATCATCTGAAGGTCCTAATGGCCAAGATGAGGAGGTATTAGTGAGAATCTAACTGTCTACACTCCTGTGCCCTTTATTAACCTGCCAGCGGCTGAGTGGTAAAGCCACTATTTCACCACTAAGATTGAATTCCAGTGGGTCCAAGGGGAATCTAACACATACACACAGGGGCATTCCTACAGGAGTGGCCAATAAAAAAACTGATAAAACAAGCCTAATACAACCCAAAGCTAAATAAAACAGAAGAAACCAAAGAGAATTGTAAACAATAAAATTTACAGTATACATGCTGCTCTGTGGTTATGCATTGCACTGGTTAAGGATAATTGTTTAGTAGTTAGTAAACAAGTCACAAAAAAAGCCCCAAAAAACCCTGAACAGAATATTTTGTCACTGTTTGAAAAGAATTTTATCGACAGCCACACTCTGAGACGGACTTGCAGATTTTGGTTTCATCGGCCCTTCTCCAGTGATTGATGCTGCACTCTCTCACACAAAAGCCGAACAGCCAAGAGCATTAGAGAAAGCTTAACTTTAAAAACACAAAGCTGCTTTTCTCTATTCATGCTGGACAGACAGACATTGCATCGCAGTAAATATTTCAGCATAGGCTACTATACTGTACCACTGTGAGTCCACACAGGGTAAACACCAACATTTTGTCACCTACATTGTCTACACAACCTACACAACCCCATGTTTAGCTAAATGAACTTACCATAAGGGTAACTTGGTGGTCGTTGTGTTTAGCTCGTTCTATTAGGTTGAGGTTGTTGTAGAGCAGGTTTTCCAGGCAGCCATGGAAGGTCCTCTTTGAGATGAATGGTTTCTGAGAAGTGAGGCTCTGGACTGCCCCTACACTCAGCTGTATGGGCACAATAACACAGAGGATTACATGCTCATGCAATAACATAAGAACAATATCTACGTTTATAATGTACTGTAGCTACAGTAGTTTTAAACTTTAATAATTCTTTGGATTCCTTAAAAAGTACTGTGCAGTATGTATCTGTATTCTGTTTCACAACACCTGTTCGATGTCCCAATGGTTGAACTCTGCAGGGATTTGAACCCTCTCCGTGTGTTTGTCCACAGTGAGGTTGAGGTGAGAGCTGTGTCTCTCCAGTACTACATGATGCCAATACTGATCATCTAACAGGCTGCCCAGCGAGGCAAGGCGCCGGGGCTCAAAGGATGAAGTCCCACCTGAAACAGAAGAGGTGGAGGAGGAGAGAGCAGTCAGCGGGGTGAAGCTGATATAAAAACAGGATTTTCTGATCTCACTATTAAGATTGTTTTTCGTTGTTTTATCTGACCCGGCGAGAAGTGAAGACCAGCCCAATAAAAGCCTCTTTACTGTTATGAATACTTAAATTTTTTCAGCATCCCACAGAGAGGATCACACTGAGGTCACCGTTCCTCATCTCATAGGGGACTACTGGATGTCTGCATATTTGAATTTGAGAACTGAAGTCAAATATGTGATGAAGGCTAATCTGAAAAACTGCAGCGGAAACATAATGAGACATCATTAATGATAGATGAGCACCAGCAGGTCCAAATTAGTGGATACATTTCTGCATCCGACAAAAAAAAAAAAAAAAACTTTGTTCTTCTGCTGAGAGAAGGAACTGTAGAAAGAGCTGAAAACAGTCAGTCATTAAAAATGTATTAGATATTCTTCAGGGAGAGACAATTCCAGCTTCAGAGAGACAAACACACAGTTTGGAAGATGATGGACAAATGTATCTTTGATATTTCAGCCAGTTTTTGTGAGATCATATATATTTGCTGCTTGGGTGAGAAAAACAACTTCATCCGAAGAAACTCAGTTAGGATGTGCACATCATGATGAAGTGGAAGCCTGTCCTGTCAACACAATCATTGTGACGAGTTATTTGATCACACTCTGGGCGAGTGAACAGAGACAGTGCAATCAATATGAGAGGAAGGATGGCAAGACTTAAAAACACATAAGATCGCTTTATTAGCACTGATTAATTGAATAGTTATTATGTTATTGGAGATGGAGAAGAGACGGAGAGGACTTTCTGATTGTGTGTTTCATTGGATGGATGATTTGATTACTTGGTGAATGGCTGAGAAGAGAAAGAAGGAATCAATATTAGAGATCAGTGGGAAGGCAAATAGAAAATTTATATTAATATGCAGTGCTCTCTCTCTCTTTCTCTCTCATTCCCTTTCGTTGTTGCTGTTTGTCTTTATTTTCCTCTGTAGTTTTTAGCAGTATTGACGACATCAAGGAGAAGAAATTAATCTTTTCTTAAGCAGCAATGATCAAACATGTAGGTTTATGACTGGGCAGGCAGTCAGTTTTATTTTTTTGGACCATGTGAGGAAAAAGTGTGGTGTGGAATATGAAACAGCAACTGTGTCCCCTGTGTAAAAGCTACTGTCAGCGAGTCCTTGAGCATGACTGTTATATGAATTGAGATGGGGGTCACCAAAAATCAATAGATCACTTCCTGATGGGAGCATGAATGTGCACAGAAAATAATAACAAGCAATGGGTCAGCAGATACCAAAAATGTAAAGATTAGTGTGCTATTGGCACAGAGGGAAAGTCATGGGGTCTTAAAAAATCAAACATGTTTAATCTTCAGAGCATGAATGTGCTCAGAAATTTCAGTGTGGTATGTTTTCAAGGTATTGGTCTTACTAGCTCCTCACTAAAGTGGCCCAAAGTCAGACTGTAGTTGTGAATCAGGATGTGTAAGACGGGGAAGTCTGCTGCTGAATGACAGCGAGCACGTTCAGCAAAATCGAAAAATAAATAGTGGATAAAAAGCTGCTAATGACTACAACATTTTTTATGTTGAGGAGGGTCAGACTGGACGTGTTTGCCTCTGCTGAACACTCTCTGCTTTTTCCCTCCAAAGTAGCACAGTATCATATCCTGTCTACAATTTCATTACAGCTGTTCACTAGATCTGATTACACAGGAAGACAGTGGCCTTTATCGATGGTTGCTGTAATCAGCTCCAAACATCATTTTCAAACTGTAAACACAGTTTGAAAAAGCTAATAGTTTAGCACTGATTCACACACGACTGTGTCTGGTCTCTTCTTTCTCATTTTTGTCCCTCATAAGGCAGGTGTGGTGCGATGACCTGCTGGCTAGTCATTATACATGTCTCTGCATGTTCTAGTGTTTGCTGTTGAGGGTACTTTGGTTGTTCAGTAAAATCTCTTTCATAAAGGCTTTCAGTAAAAGTCTTTTTCATGAGGCCTTTGTCAAGCTGCGTTCTCTCAAAAACAAGCAGACCAGGTGATTAAAAGTGGTCAAAACATTGAATAAAGACATTTCACTTTAAAAATCGTCCTGGAGGGGCTGCGAGCTACTGATGGCATTTGGTCAGTTTCTTTCTCTGATAACTCCAGACGTCCAATGACTAAAATTGTTAATCCAGTTAAAATATATAATGTAAAAACGACCAAGATCTAAATAGTATATTATAAAAATAGGGCTTAAACCTAAAACTTAAACTCTGTTTTGACTGCTTCTGTCAGGATACCACAAACGCTGACACACACCAAATGAAACGGACCGTTACCTTTATTAAAATTACAGATTTCTCTAACTGCTGGAAACATTTGGGACAATGTCAGTGCATAATATAGGTCTAGTCATTTTTGTACATTTTAATTCAAAAAAGTTATTTTTCATTACACCTTTAATCAAAGCAGTGCCTCGGCTTACAGCTAACATCAAGCACTGGAGCAGGACCCTAAAATTACTGAGGTAAGAGGAAAGGACTGGCTGAGTTATGAGCCAACAGAGACACAATATACCGACCTGACATTTTGATGAATGTAAAGCAGAGAGGGAAGGGGATGGTTTTGAATAGCAGACATAAATCTTGAAAACCAGCATGTTTATTCTAGCTGTTTAGACAGCAACAAGCAGACTGAGCGGTGTTTAATGTTTGCAGTGAAAAGCTTCTGCAATTTAGTTACTGGACTGGATTCTCTAAAATCATTCTCTTATCACTGAGCAAAGATCATGTAAAAAAAAAAAAGACAATTTAGATTTTGGTTTGATTTGTGGACACAAGGCTGAAGCAAACAGAATAAAAGAAGAACAATTTTCCGACAGGACTTTTATTTAGAGACCCTGTGGCTCTTTAAAAAGGCATCTCACTTGGAAAAATTTGGTGAAAAAATGACAAAATAAACTAAGGTATGTAAATGTTGACACCGAACTTCACTTCACTTAACAGTTTACTATACATGACGAGACAAAACTGAACTGCACAAGAGTCAAGCTCTGACTTAAAACTGTTTCATCCGTCAGTTTTTTTTGTCAGTGCTTTGGTTTCTCTGTTTTCCGGGACAGAGCTGCTGTTTCTGTTTCTGTGCAGGGCGGTTTCTCAGAGTTGCCTCATAAAGCAAACCGCAATATGTTCGGACCTGGATGCGTTAGTGTTAGCAGAGCGGAGCGGAGCAGGCCATGCATGAGCTCAGGGTCAGTGCACACAGTAGATGACTTAAATTACACAATCAGTAACCTAAAATGCCAATGTGGAGAAAAAGAGAGAGGGAGGGGGTGGGCAAAACACAGAGCGAGGAAGACAAAGAGGAAGGTGGAGACAAATAATGAGAGAACAAAGATGAGGGGCATCTGACCATGAAAACAGAGGAGAAAAGTGTGAAGAATTGCAAAGAGACAAAAACACACAACAATGTCATGAGAGAAAAACAGAAATCACAAGACAGAAAGATGGGGAGTGAAAAGCTGAAAAGGGCAAAAGGCCTCTTCTGATATGAAATAAATAAAGTAACTGGAGTCAGACAAAAGGAAAGGCTGGCTGTACTGTAACATGGCACAGCCTTTCTTCATGGTGGAACACTGACATTTGGTTTTGTTTACGCTGACACTGACTCTCTCTGTGACATATATCTCCACAGGAAACAGAAGATGTGTGCAGATTGTAGTTATGAGAGGGATTTAAATTGAATCTTTCAGGTTTGATTGGCTCACTCATATGTGGGTGTGGTTTAGTCAATACAGCAGTGCTGCAGTGAAATCGGGATGAGGACAGGAGAGACATGAATAAATTAGACCTAACCACCGTGCTCTTTTGAAAATGTCAACAACGTTTTTGCCAACTAATCTCCAAACACAGACATCTGACCCATGATAATGCTCTGCTGCCAGTTTTATACATTTCTCTATATGCCCCCAAGTTGAAGATAAGACATTAAAAGCATTTAATGTCTTACAGGAAGAGAAAAAAGAGGAACTTTGATATTAAAACATACTTAAAAGTCATTTTTTGACATATATATATACAGTACATGTATTGGCATATACCAAAAGAGAGTTAAAGAGCTGGTACAAGAAAACATGATTAGTATGTGTAGATGTTGTCTCTCTTCAAGATGCATGTCCTTTCCCTTAAAGGGATAGTTCGGGTCACTTGAGGGTTGTGTGAGGTTGACTACTTATCAATGGTCAATGTATTTATTCTTTTACCCACTTTAAAAGAATGCCCACTGAAAAAAGACAATATCAGTTTAGGTGTACGCTATATTTTGAATATTTTTACCCCTTTATCTTGCAGACAAACAGCCCTTTCCTTTGGAACTACCCTTTCTCAACTGTTGCACTACCATATTCCTACGCATAGCTACGTATAACTGATCTGCGTTGTAATATGGCGTACACGTCAACTGATATTGGCTTTTTTCTGTGGTCACACCAGTACATCATCCGCTTCTGTGGCGTTACTCCTGCCTGCCTCTCCAAACTGAGAGGGTGCCGATCCAAATCTGCTGCAGCTAATACACTGACTATATATAACTACTTCACACAATCCCACATCAAATAACCCGGACTATCACTTTAATGTGCTGCTGTCTGTCTTTACAGGACTTTGTAGGTCTTTCTGCAAGAGTTACAAGAAGTTGGATACGGTTGGAGGAAGGGTAGAAAAGATGGATGAGGGAAGAAGGGAGGAAGGGGAGAAGCAGATGGAGGAAGGAGTGGTTTGAAAGATGTGAAACGGAGAAAGAGAGAGAGGAGGAGGCAAAGAGAAGAGCCATATGGTGATGATTCAGCATGGCAGGCTGACAACCTCTGGTTTAACCCCGTTTACACACACACACACACACACACACACACACACACACACACACAACTCTGTAGAGACAGTAAGCCATGCATGTAGCCTAGCCCTAACACATGCTACAGTAAACGGGAACCATCCATCACAGCTGTAACTAGACAGAGATGCAGCAGCAGAGTGTGAGCCAAGATTTAAACCAATCATGTGGCGGCATGCGTGCCAGCCACCTCACCCAACCAAAACCAGTCTAAAGTTATTCCAGAGGGTTTATATTGTCCTAGGCCTGATAGATATTTTTGTGCCAATATAACCGTCAAGTAATTCACATATTACAAGAAATAAAATGTGTCATTGTTGATCAAACTGTTTCAGCTGAAGGTTTTTACTGTAGAACAGCAGAAATGTCTGGTGGATGACACAGACGGAAATGACATTCATGTGTTTATATGCGACATTTTCCTGTTTTTTCTGAAAATGTCATCAATATAAAATATTAAACTCGGCATTTCACCTAATAATGGTAGACTTGGTTTAGGTACCTTTATCTCCCACTATCCTTCTACCGATAAACCTGGTCTCTATACAGATTCTCATGTTATTCTCCAGTGCAGCAGATATGTATATATAGATGTCAGTAGATGTCAGTGTCTGGTATGTTGGACCTTGTCTGAGCAGCAGCTGTAGCTTTCCTCTCTCTAACTCCAGACTGAGGCTGAGGCCTTCCTGTCCCTCTGCGTGGAGCAGCGTCCCAGCATTCTTCAGGGTTTTAAACTTCAGTGAGACGACTTCTCTGAATGTTTTCCTCGGGCTGGGACTGAACCTGTACACCAGACCACTGCTGCCACTGTCAAAACTCACCACATCAGAGGCTGGAAAACAAAACAGGGAGACGGCCATCAGGACATTGTGGGTATGTATCAGGTATGTATATGGTATATGGGAGTCTCAAAGACCAGGAAATGCGTCTCTCTTCCAACACAAGGAACATGCACACCTGGAAAGTTTTGTCTGTTATTGTGATACACTGTTTTGTTGATGAGGGAGAATCTCTGAGGTAGAACTGGATCTGTATTCTGTTCAGCACATAAAATAAAAATGTAGTACCCTCCCTTTAGCTGGGGATTTGAGATGAGGTGAGCAGTCAGTGTGTGTGTATGTGTGTGTGTGTGTGTGTGTGTGTGTGTGTGTGTGAGAGAGAAAGAGATTAGGTGTAAAGACTTTCTGAACTTCCCGACTGTGAACCTTGTGAATCCTAAAAGAGCAGCGAGTGACTTAAACATCGATTAAAATTTCCAAATCAACACATAGCCTCAAACACGAGAACACACACCCTCCAACAAGTCCACATCAGAGCATTTTTGTAAACAGTGCAGTTCCTGTTGACTGCAGATACAAATACGCGCTACTACATGTGCAATGATGCAACGGTATAACTGAGTGAAGACTTGTGGCACAACTGCAAAGTAACTGAATCCTACATTTATCAGGCCCTTTCACACGGAGCAGGATTTTTGGCTAATGAATATGTTGTTTAAAGAAAAATTATATATAGATACACACATATACACACAAGGTTAAAAGGTTCAGTCAATTTTCCGATCAAATTGCAAAACTACTGACATAATGATGTGAGAATAGTCTTAAATTTGTGTTACAGTAGATATATTTCATATTTTTGTGCCATTCATCTGTGACACAGCTTTTGATCTTTGCTCAACAAATTAAAGTGACAGCATGTTTTTTGTTTAGCATAAAAAGACAATAACAGAGGGTGTGAAATGTGGTCATTTTAACTTTAAAAGCAAAAGGTTGATGGATACAATTGAGAAACTGATTTTTCCAATGGGAGTAGGAGTGATATTAAAAGAAGGTGAATGAGTTAAACATATGTTTTTGTGGCTGAAAACACTGTGATGTGGGTTTATTTTCACTGTGTCAATGCCAGAGTTAATACAGCAAATCTGTTGTAAAATACTCAAAATGGAAATGCAACCAATTAAACTGTTGACACAGTATGTTTCCTGGCTTAGGGGAGAAAGGTGTGAAACACGATGGCTGTCAGTGATGATTACAGAGGAGGGAATTAAAATGTGGAGAAGGTGTCAACAGTTGGCAGTAAACCTTTGTGTTTCTTGGTGTATGGAAATACAGAAGACACACCAAAATGACACCGAAAGGAAAAGGCATGACATATGATGTGCTAATGTAATGATGTAGAAACAGAATGTAAACCGATAATACAACATTATGAAAATAAGAAGGTTATACTGTGTGAAAATCAAGAAACAAGTGAACATAAGGCTCTAAATCATTATACAGTATCCAGAGGATACAAAGCATCACTGTGATTATTAAAGTGGGAATGAAGCCAATTAAAAGTCCGCCATATGAAGCACACGCACACACACACACACACACACACACACACACACACACACACACACACACACACACACACACACACACACACACACACACACATACAGATGTATGGAAATCCTGTTAATGTTAACAGAAGTTTGGCATTTGTTATCTACTGAATTGGTAACTTTCTCTTCAATCAATTAATCAATTAAAAATAATGTGGCTAGCTAGCAGTTATACATTCATATACATTACCTTTACTTACCTTAATTTACTGATAGTCACTCCAATAAATAAGATCAGACTTACTATAAGGACATCCGTAAGTCTCCAGCCTGAGTCCGATCCGCCCGCTGGGGTTCCAGTCCAGAGGAATGAGGCGGAGGAAGCGAGCGATCGCTGGCTGCTGCAGTTTGTACTGAACCACACTGTCTGCATTACTGTTCCCTGGAAAAGACTGAAAACACACAAACAAGGATGACACTTTGACTATGTTCAACTTACATGAAAAGGCTATGAGACATGAATACTACTTTCTTCTCACTTTCATCTTCAGTTCAGTGACTAAACGTGAACTCTTCTGATATAAATCTGACATGAATAATTTCCTGTAGATTCCTGTTGATATTTTGCCATCACTAAGGAATGTATACACATACAGCACACAAACGCATAGCCATTACTGCAACAAGACTAATAGTCGACTTTAACTAACATCAACTTGCTAACGTGTTCACAATGACAATGCTAACATGCTGATGTTAAGCAGGTATAGTGTTTACCATCCTCACCATCTAAGTTTAGCTTGTTACCATGCTAACATTTGCTAATTAGCTAAGTATTAAACAAATGATTTCTTTTTTTAGGTATGATTTGGGAATTTTCCTTTCCGTAGAAAACTGATGTATCAACAAACTGTTACCTTTTAGTGAGGGAATCACTAAAGCAATTCATCTTGGAAGGGACCTGTTTGTCAACTACAAATGTCAACCTCATGGTGGCGCTAAAGGAAAATTTAGGCATTCACCATCATCCTCTGGGGACCATGAACAGTCTGTCCAAACTGTCATGGCAACCAATCCAATAGTTGTTTAGTGGTGGATCAACAGTCTGACATTGCCACCTGTAGTCACGGTGCATATTGTGGCTATATAGTGGTATTATGGATACACCAGACTATTTTAACAATATAATGCTCTTGATGAGCAATAAACAGTCTGTTTACATGATCTGGAGAACGAACATGAAACTAGATGGGTCTGTTTCTTTCTGACACTGGGCTTAACGCCTGATGGATCGCTCTTTTCATCTCTTTCCATCTCTCCCATCTGGCTATCTATCCTAATTATATCCCTCCCTTGAAGTTGACATGCAGGTTAACTGGCTCTCCCACTGCTGAATAAAAGCTTAGACACATAATTAACTTATTAATTCCTCTGGAATCATTAGAGAGTGGAGCTGGATCTCCTCATATGATGAAAAGAGATACTTGTGTTGGGTAACTATAATAATAGTGTGTTTTATGTGTGTGTCTTTCTATGGCTGTTGGCCGTATGGCTGTTTGATGGTTAAGACTTGGTTAAGGTTTAGGTAAGAATTAGGTAGGCCTATAGGTTGGGGTTATTTATTTGTGAAGGTTAAGGTTAAGGTAAGGGCTTAAGGAAGGCATTATGTTTGTATTAAGACAAATGTGTGTGAGTGTGCGTGTTTGTGTCTGGATCCAGATTGTGTCTTTTTGTAATAAAAGATTTTGTCATTCTTACAGCAACAAAGGACCAATGAAATTCACTCCCAGTTACACAAATGACACACACAAATAGCATCAGACATGCAGCTACATATTATAACCCTGAAACCAGACAACGAGTGATTTTACTGTACATCATGTGTATGTACTGTACGTATGTGAATATACAGTACAGCAGGAACTCATCAGTTACATTCATGGAAAGAAATGCAACAGGAGGAACAGATGTATTTTTCACACAGAAACAGCTAAATATCTCCCACAGTGCTATGCTTCCTGTGTTCACACTATTTATTGCGATCCATACTGTTTAAATAGTGAATTCACACATTAATGTTGTCAGTGCAATGTGTTATCAATGTCATGTGACAAATGTTTGACTCCTGTTGATATTAATGTCGACTCATCCTCCCCTCAACAACATCTTTATTTCAATTTTTGCCTGATTTCCAGTCATTTCTTTATACAAAGTGCTGAAAAATGAGAGAGAAAGAGGACAAAAAGAAGTTATAGTGATACATCAAACTATTTTCTGTCAAAGTTTAAAAGAAAGAAAAACGGGAAGAAAAAAAGAAGAAGAAAAAACTTCCCCTCACTGGTTTTCAGCCCAGTAAGCTGACAGCAGAAGCCTAGTATGGTGTGGTTGATCCACCAGCCCTGCCATCAACTTTCCCCTCTGACAGCCTCTCTAAGCCTGGCTGACTAACACACAGGAGTTCATAAACACTTTGAAATGTGAGTTTGATTGTGCACAGTTTATGTAGAGTGTCAGATCAACATGTTTTTAATCTGTGAGAAGCCGTTCTCCGCTCTCACAGAGAAGATACTCAGTGCTGAGATTAGCTGGATTCTCTCTATATGAGGAAATTGCCTCAGCTCGGCTTCTAATCAAAAGCTCTTCTCTTAACTATTTCAATAAATGTAGTTTTACTCTGGATGTGTCCTTGCTCTCTGTGGGTTAATATATGCCATGTTTTTCCATGCTTGTTGCACAACCTAATGTGGTATTGGACTCTGGGAGCATGAAGGTAAGAAACATGACTATTAATTAAACATATTTTGACAGGATTCATCACTGTTTACTCTCTACACAAACAGGATCAAAACTACTCAGTATTCCAGTGTCTGTGCTGAACCGTGTACCACAGCAGTCAAACACAAGTCCAACATGACACTTGTGTTGAGAAAACAATGGAGGGAAGTGGGAGGTGATGCCTCACTGCCTCTGCTGCCCAACTGGATGATGTCTTTATTAATCATTTCAACAAAGGCCCACTACACTTTAAAGTCATATTTTGGAAATTATTTTTGTACAAGTACATCTAGCCTAAATTACACAAATGTCTGTAACTTTGAACAACCCCTGATTCAAAACTGATTCAAGTTTTCAGTTCATCCAAAGACTAATGATTTAATGGACCAGAGGCACATGAAACAACGTTTTTCTTTCCACATTATTGTTCAGAAGGAAAAGTGGCTAGCATATATTAAACTTCTTTTAAGAGGAAATTCATCATTTTCTACATTTTGGTGGTGGTAAAAAAAATGATGCTCAAACTATACAGAGTCACTTGTGATCTTGTGGTTTTCTCACATCATTTTTAGCTATCCAAACTAGCTAACGAAAATGTCCTCGAGTGTGTCCTCAACAGTTAATGTCTTGGCTAATTTGTTTCTTGTTAAAGTGAAACTTGACAATAAGTTAGCAAAAGATTTCAAAATATTTTGACATATAAATGTAAGTTCATGCTAACCTATGTTCAAGACCATTTCTGAAGTCCCCTCTAATTTGAGAACTGGTGTTGGCGGCCAGGAAGCTATTGGTTAACTAGCCAGAGCAACGTGTCATTGCACTAACAGGAAGTTGACCCACACTAACTGTGCCAGACTTGATGTTTAGTGATTCAGGACAGAAAAAAGAGTCTTCAGCCATCTTCATGCTAGCAGCTCTGTGAGGCTGTATTCAGGCAAAGCAGATCTTTGAGTCAAATACTTACTACACATTTGCATGCTAACATGCTCACAGTGACAATGCTGGTGTTTAGCAGGTTTGTTTACCATGTTCACAATCTTACTTTAGCATGTTAGCATGCTAACATTTGCTAATTATTACAAAACAAAAATTACTGCTGAGACTGGTGCGTTGATTATTATTATATATTACATTATGTTTGGTCATAAAGTATTGAACTCATTATAAACTTTTGACCTGATGGTGTTACTCGACGAAAAGGCAAGAGAAAATGGCCGACAGACATCCGCAGAGATGCTGTTACCGTGGCTATCAAGCATTGAGCAACAAAATAAATGCCGTTTTTCTTACATCAACACCGTTTGTTCTCCATTTGTTCTCATGTTTTTATTGTCACTCTCCACTCCATATTAAAAAGACTAATCATTACATGCAATCTTGAAAAAGTTAACGATAAAAAAAAAAAAAAGACAGAGGAAATTAAAGATGTAAGTGAAAGCACCACAACTTTGTGTTTTTTTGTTTTTTTTCTAGCATACACACCGGACTTTATCCTCATTGATTTCAGCATCCGGTTGCACTCCAGACTGCACTGCATGGTCTCAGCCAGAAAAGTGCCGCTCGGCTGATCCTCTGTTCTGCTCTGTGTCCATCAACAGCAGCAGAAGTGTTTTGGCAATAGGTCCACACAGTCAGCAGAGCTCTTTCATTTGTTCATACATTATTAATGGAGAGTCAAAGGCTCCTGATGGCTGTGATTATCTCTGCAGGATGGACTGATCCCTGCAGATGAGCCCAGTAAACACCACGTCCACTGTAAATATGACTGTTATAGTCCAGGAAAATGAGCTGTAATAAACCTGATGGGTGTTCATTTTTACATTTATCACCTACAGTGCAGCACACTTAAAGTGCTGCTGGTCTATTTGTGTTTAACAGTTAAAAATAAATGCACTGCTTGTCTTCGGATTTGGCTCTGTCTTCATGTGTCCTGTTAAATTATATTGTTATAAAGGAACTGTTTATCACAGATAAGTCATATCTTCATTGTCTTCCTGCCAGTGTGAGATGTTAAAGGACAATACACTTGATTTAGAGGGATAGTAAAGTAATAGTCTGTAATATAACTGTCATGATGATTTGTTCACTGTGAATTCAAACACACATGTATTTCTACAGTTGTTTGTACATTATGTATTTTGTTGTTTTCTAAGACATAGCTACATGCCGCTTTCCAGAGACAGTTGAGAATGCAACCATTGCAGTCTCAAGGTATAATGTAAATAACTGTAACTGAAACAGTAACTGAACATATGTTCATTTGAAATTGTTTATGTGCATATTAAATACATCTGAAATCACCTTCTCAGTGGAGAAACACTTCTTCCTCTTGTCATTATCTGTCAAGACATTTGTCTTATTTATTGTCACAGTAATCTGACAGCCCTCTGGAACAAATTTTTTGATTTACTGCATTATAGAGGAACTTCACTCGACTTGACATCACTGTTCTGTTTTGTTACTGTCTGTTGTTGTTGAACAGACCCAGTATTGTATTGTGTTTACACAGAGCGAGAGACAGCGCTAAGTGAATTAAAATTAATTTTAAAAATGCAGTCTACTCATCGATTTCAAGGAAACAACCTTGAGCAGAGGCCTCCAACAAAAAAGAAAGCAGGATTGTTTGGCACACAGTAGAACTTTTTTAATTTGTTTATTTGTTACTGCCCCAAGGTCTCACTTTTGAAACTATTTATTACACTATACTGTTTTGGTTCTGCACACTCAAGTATGGACTCACCCCTAAACTGTCCTCCTGTCTGTACTGTTTCCAGTTGTGTCCCGTGTCGCTGAACATCAGCAGGTACGACGACAGCCAATCAGAGCTGCCGTATCGCCCCTGGGTTGCGACAGCTGTGATCTTTGTCCGCTCACCCAGGTCGACCTCCAACCACTGATACCTGTCTGAGGTGAGAGGGGACCAACCTCCAGCTCCTGCAGAGAGGGAAAATTAAGGGTAAAAAAAAAAAGGGTATAAAAGTAAAAGTAAGTTGTAATGAGATTTTTGAGTCACCAGCGTCTGTGTGTGCGTGTGTGCACATGTGTGACGAATGAATTGCTTGACCTTTAAGTCAAACTTATTTTGCTGTAACAGAGCCAGAATAAAGCACATTTTTGCCAAGTACATACAACAGTTAAAAACCCATTTCAGTACAATGGTTGGACACCGTGTTGAGTATTTTTCTTGTTGTTCTGAAACACAGAATTGGTTTAATTTCAAGAAACTGCAGGGGTGTTTTTTTATTAAAAAATTTGACTTTAAAGAATCAGAGGCAGTCAGATTGCTGCTGTGTTATACAGAATTTTAATTTTAGCCAAAGTACATGATGGAATTTCATGAGTCCATTAAATAAAAAAACAATGGTCAAAAGAATAAAAACCTCCGAACTCCGAACAGTTTTCCAATTTACAAAACTGCAGCCTCCAAAACTTTTCATGCTTGTTTATCATTTGTCTTTAGACTTAGATTTTTTTTTTCTTTGAGAAAAAGCAGTGTTGTTTAGCAGACATACTGGATGAATAGACTTTCTCACCTTCTCACTCACTTTCTCAGCACACAAATGTGACCTATAAGTGACCTCTGACCTCTGATCTTAACTGACACTATACAGCAATGGATTGCAGAATGAAATGCAGTGTACCCTCCTTGCTACACACGCTTACAAAATGTATTAATAAGACTGACATAGAATTAAAAAAATAAAAAATGTACAGGTAAATAGAACAATTACTTTAGTTACTACTTAATGAGGCTGCATTTATTACTGTAAATCAAGCTTACATAGGAATAACGGTGTTATAATAATAACAGTGTACCACTTTTTTGCTAATTAGTGTGTCATCAGTATGAATCAAGGTAGGTATTTCACAGGTTGGTGAAAATCAGATCACCAAAGTCAGTCGGATTCATCCTCTGGTGACCAAGAATGTCTGCGCAAAATTTCATGACAATCCATCAAATACTTGTGGTTAAATAAAAAACATCCATTCAACTGTTGAATTGCAAATGAAACAATGCAGCTAATGTTTAAACATATCACTGTCCCTCATGCTATGTTTTCTATGTATACTTCATAATGCTTCTGAGGCTGCGGTCTAACACTGACAGGAGAATCATTTCATTCTTTCTTTTACATTTTTTGTGTATGTATGATTTCAATCACTGAAACATTTTCTGCTCTCAAATACTGACATCCTTGTGGCGAGATCCTCAGCTATCCTCTTTGACATCAGTGCTGAGATGTTTTACCAGAGTTAGTGTAATATTATTGTGCAGCCCCTTATTATATATCCCAAACAAAACATCAACAAGAGGTCGTGCATTGCTTAGTTGCACAGAATGCAGCACCATTTTCATCCTCTTCCAGATATAGCCTTACTAAGAGGCTGTGGCGTGATCTATTGATTAGTTTTACAGTTTGCCTGCAACTCTGCACCCTTTGCTATATAAAATATCATCAATGAGAGGTTGTGGTGCCAAGCATTGATTAGTTTTACAGTAGCCCTGCAGGTTCCTTTCCCATGTTACATATCACCACTAAAGAGCAGTGTTGTAACATATTGATCGGTTGTGCTCTGGGCCAGTAAGCTGAGAAAATAAAAAGAGGGCGTTCAAAACATGTTGATTAGTTTAAATAGAAGTGCAGGTGTTCAACAGGTTGGAGGCATTTCCTCTGTGTAGCACTGTATAGTATTGCCTAATGTGTCCCATCCCCCAAAATACTTTGAGAAAAGGCTGTGGAGTAAGTTATTGATTAACCATATACAAGCTATTTGACATTAAATTTGTCTCTGTTTTCAAATACAGACTGAGAGAGAGGTAGCCAGAATCTTAGTCCAACCCCCCACCCCCCCCCTCTTTTTTTGTTGTGTGGGAAAGTGCTTTGTCAGGCCAAAGCGATGCCTCAGAGCTTAAACACCAGATGGACGCTTCTGAAGAAGAGGGCTGCTCACCTATGTCCCACTGAGTGCGCACACACACACACACACACACACACACACACACACACACACACACACACAAACACAACCATCCGTACAGTAAAAAAGAGAGCAGAGACACAAACATTGGACGTGGATAAGCTCCTGGAAAGCATTAAAAAACAAACAGTGTAAATGTCACTTGTCCTCATGTTACCTTGCTGTTGTCTGCTTTACGTTGTACCAGCGGAAAACAAACAATTTGAAACAAAGCAGCAAACAGAATTTATCATGAGCCTCCAGGGGACAGTGCTCGGTTGTTCCACTTTGGTCTAAAGGCTGAAGTCACAACTACAAGCCTTAAGATACCCTTGGGTCCAAAAAGTCTTTTTTCCGGCTGTCAGACGTTTTTGTGTCATTTGTGTGGTCCAGCAGTCAGCACAACACAACAGATGCCTGCATGTGGGCCCAACAAGCACAGATCACAGGGAAGCGTAGAAGCTTTTTCAGCGAATGCACTGAACATTGATCAACTGGTAAATTGAAAGTTTCACCTTCAAACTCACCCTGGTCTTTTCACCATGATTCTCAAATACCATGCATGCATCAAGTAGGCTGCTACTGTCACTGAACCAGTCTGGCTTTTCATCTCACGCTCAGTTTTACCAAACTCCTCACATTCTGTTAAAATTCGCCTCACATCTGGATGGAAACTTGACTCTTGTCAACCGACTGAAACCTCCTTTCCAGCACCAGCTGGCTTTGCCCCTCTTTCCTAGCACATTGAGCAGTGTCATTCTGCAATAATATGAGCTTCATAGATTCACAGCACTCACAGATACAAAAGACAAAGACCATGTAACAGCAATCCCCTGGTTCAAGCCCACTTCAGTTACTTTTAGTAAGATGTCCAATAAAGAAAACATGCCAAAAAAACATATAGATGAATAAAAATTAAGAGGAACAGGTTCATATGTCAAGGTAAAATGTTTGGTCCACTACATATTAGCTACTGGAATCTAGCCGTAGGAAAAGGTCAGTGTTATCTGATTTGATATGATTGTGGTTAAATCTATCGTAGCTCTTCATTTGTATGTTCAAGTAAAACTAGTTTCTCTTTATCTTGAGTGTGGGAAGTATTGTTTCAGAGCGTCCTCTCTTTTCTTATCAATCAAAAAGGAGAGTGAACAATGTGCTGTGGCAGAAAATCACTGCAGTGAAAATGAACCAGTGTCGCTCCGGTGGCCGGTGGAGCCTGATCTTTAAAGAGCTAAAGGCCAAAGCTAATAAGCACTTGACTAACAGACGTGTCCAGTGACAGCAGAACGGAAAAGAGCAGACACTCTGACCTTTACTCATGAAGATTAGACTGTAGAGAAAAAGGAGAAAAAGATCAGAGGAAATGACTCAGAGGCCAAGAGGCGTTGCGATTTACTGTGTCCACCCTGTCAGTACAACTGAAACAGGGGCGAACTGACGGCTGACGCTCGAAATACTTCCTTTCACGGCTGTCGCTTTAAATCAAAGAGATCTCCCTGGTTACTCTCTCAGTGTCTATCAAGGAACTAGATCTAACCATCCACTGGGAAACGTACTTACAGTTAATGATAGAGAGTGTGTATGACATCACTGCTCTGCCAGCCAATTACAAGGCCAAACTCTCCTTCAGTTTTCACCAGTCACGGGACAGTAGGCGGTTGCCAGTGGCAACACGCGGCTCATTATCTGGCATTTCTCGGCTTTGAATAAACCAGCATTTTAACTTGCTTTTCATTTCTGAATTTTATCAGACAGGCTACATCCAATTTCACCACAGAAATTACAACAACCATGTCACATTTGAGCAGTGCCACTGTAAGACTGACACTGTGTTGCTAAATGTTAGCAATTAGCTAAACCAGCCAATGGAAAATTACAAGCACTGAGCGCTTGTTTCCTACTGCACAAAAAGCTGAGAGCTGTGCTGCATTTTCTCCTCCATTTTGGATTATCTTTTGTCATCCACATTATTTCTCCACACAGCTGAAATTAAAATTCATGATTTATATTTGTACTTCACTTGATTGTACCATAGCAATGTAGCCTATTCATGTAGCTGCTGCAGCTACACTGTTGACACAATGACACCTGCTCTGTCTCCCTTTCTCCTGCATTCAGGGTGCTTTCCCTTCTGGTAAATTATGTTTGCTCCCCTCCTTGCTCCTTTGCGATCTGGTCCTCCATCACTGTGAATGTTACAATCCCTGAAATGTGTCTCAGAGGTGAAGAGGAGTGAGGAGAGAGGAGGATCCCAGAGGAGCTCAGAGCAAGGACTCACAGGCTTTGTACCAGAGGGCAACAAAACTCTTTGATTGGAATCTGTTTATTGATTGGTCAGCTGATCTGATGGGGGGGGGGGGGGGGGGGGGGGGGGGGGTGTAAAGGGCTGGTTGAGCTGTGCTGAATTAACATTGCATGATTGAAATGCTGCAGGCAAAACACCTGTAGAAACAGGAATGGGACTACCAGCAGCTATTATGTTATTAATGTTTATTCATAACATTAAAACTATTTGTGTGTAAAATCTGAATCATGCAGCTTTGCATATTTTTTCCTTCATAAGCCAAGAGGCTTTTCTTTTCTTCTTCTCCTCTTATTTTCAGTCCAAGTTTATCTTGGCTGACTCAGAAAAAAAAAATACAGATACAGTGTTGGAGCAGAAGTCAACAGGCGCCAGATGTTCCCTTTGTTACAGTCACTTATTTGTCCACATTTGACATTTGAGATGCTGTCCGGCATGACAAGTTACTGTCTCTTTGAAGTTGGTGAATATATGTCTTCTGTCCTCACATCTCTCTCTGTCATCCTCACCGGGAGGAGCTAATACATTTGGAAGAAATGTGAGTGAGGGAAGCGAGGAGGCGATGGACGTCACCCTCAGTCCCACCAACCTTTCTTCCCCAGCCCTGGCATCTCATATGACACTCTAAATCGGAATGACAGGATTTAGAGTGTCATATGAGATGCCAGGGCTG